GTATCATGAACACCTTCAGTGTGGTGCCTTCCCCCAAGGTACCCTTGTGATAGAGCATGAGCATTTTAATTTCAAGAGATTTGATTTTAGTTTCTCTTGCCTTAGGTTTTCTCCTTGAAGATCATGAGACTTAAGAACAACTCTATGTGTTTTCTGTCCTCAGGTGTCAGACACAGTGGTTGAGCCTTACAATGCCACCCTGTCAGTCCACCAGCTTGTAGAAAACACAGATGAAACCTACTGCATTGACAATGAAGCCCTGTATGACATCTGCTTCCGCACTCTGAAACTGACCACACCCACCTACGGAGACCTTAACCACCTTGTGTCCGCCACAATGAGTGGGGTCACCACCTGCCTGCGCTTCCCCGGTCAGCTCAATGCTGATCTCCGCAAACTGGCTGTCAACATGGTGCCTTTCCCCCGTTTGCACTTCTTCATGCCTGGCTTCGCTCCCCTGACCAGCAGAGGCAGCCAGCAGTACCGAGCCCTCACAGTTCCGGAGCTCACCCAGCAGGTGTTCGATGCTAAGAATATGATGGCTGCATGTGACCCACGTCACGGCCGCTATCTGACCGTCGCTGCCGTGTTCCGTGGGCGCATGTCAATGAAGGAAGTTGATGAGCAGATGCTCAACGTCCAAAACAAAAACAGCAGTTACTTTGTAGAATGGATCCCCAATAATGTCAAGACCGCCGTCTGTGACATTCCACCCCGTGGCCTGAAGATGGCCGTCACTTTCATTGGCAATAGCACAGCCATTCAGGAGCTGTTCAAGCGCATCTCTGAGCAGTTCACAGCCATGTTCCGTCGTAAGGCCTTCTTGCATTGGTACACAGGTGAAGGTATGGATGAGATGGAGTTCACCGAAGCAGAGAGCAACATGAATGATCTGGTGTCTGAGTACCAGCAGTACCAGGATGCCACTGCTGAAGAAGAGGGTGAATTTGAGGAGGAGGCTGAAGAAGATGCTTGAAGATAAAGATGTGAAAGTGAAGACATCAATGCCAAACAAAAAATAATAAAGGAATAACTGACAAAAGTACAAAGGTAATCAAGGAACAAACGTAGTGTCATTGCTAGAATTAAACTTTAGCATGCATTAGATATCCCTTGTGATTCACTGCAAATAAAGTCGTCAAATAAATATGTGTTTGCATTTTATTAAGGTTTTCTCTTATTTGTCTGATAAAATGTTATCTACAACTCAGCTATTACATTTTAAAGTCGTGCAAATGTAAATAATTGGATCTCAAGAGGGATTTTGTCAAGATTTTGACCAGAACCCAAAAGAAGACAAGAACAGACAGTACATTTATTTAATGGAAGGTATGTGATCAGGATTTTGGTGGTACTCTCAGTGTTAGTGGCTGGGCAAGACTGGATGGTTAAGCAAGCATGTTTGCTTAAGGCAAATTATCTCATTCTGTTTATGGCTGAAAGCTGGAGCTGGCGAGGCCAGAAGGTAGAAGACAGAGATTGACAAAAGTTTGTTAACCAAACGGGCATAAACAGAGTTTCTCAGTTTCACTAGGTAAATTGGCTGGTATACCACACTACACATGGATGTGGGGGGAATAGAGAAGAGGAGAGACAGAGAGAGAGAGAAAGAACAAAGTCAGACAGACAGATAAAACCCAAAACACACCAACCATGCCACACTCACCCAAAGGGGAAAAAATAAACAAAATCACACTCACACTAATACCAGCTGTTACTGGGCAGGATCCACGGCGGAGGGGTTGTGACAGATTTCCAGAGATGGATGAATTTTAACTGTGTGGAGGTCAGCAGTTTCTGCAGAAGAGGATACTGATGCATTCATGTGCTGTTACCTGCAGCAATGAAAAATACCTGTGCCATTCAGTTTTGTTCTGCATGGATAACTGGGTAAATGTGTGCGTAGCACAAAGCTTAGATCAGATATGGTCATCAGATATTATTAGAGTATTGAATGAGGTGTATTATCTAGAGGTGTCTACTCTGCAAGCATTATGATGGTTAAAAGGGTGCACCACCAATTTACAACATGATAGAGTCAGACAAAGTTATTTATCTGCACCAAACCACATTGTGTGGTTAGGTATGAGTCAAACCTAAGAACATATATTCAGTGCACCCTGGCAATGTTTAGATGAGCTAAATATTCAACTCAAAGTAGGGCATCTGTTGGTTCATTAAAATACAATTCCACAAATTTATTCAGACAAACCAACTACTTAATTTGGAAGTAAAAACATTTTTATTGTGAGTTTCTTGTAAGGTTTTGCATTCAAATTTCTCTGGAGAGCAATAGCTCACAGAAAAATTGGTGGAGATACAGGTGCACCAAGCAATGTCGCAAGTAGTTGTGTAACTTTATTATTCAGCCATATAATTATAAGGCTTCAAATTGTTGCTGGACATGGCTGGCTGAACCTTGAACGAGGCACTAGGGCAAAAGTGAGCAGCCTGGTCCATATGCTGTACCTCCCACACAAGCCCCAGGTTCACGGTGTGTTAATGTTTGCAAAATATAAGTACAAAACTGAAATAATGATGGTCAACATGATGAACAACATTTTGACACAGAGACCCTATTCAAGACAAGGCTTCAAGGTTTAGGTAATAAAGCAGGACCCACCTCAAGGCCCTCATGTCAGATTATGTTGTGCTTTAGCGCTGTGTATACAAGTCATTCCTATTGACACCTTCTTTATCACATTAACACAAAATACTGGATGTTAAACTAAAGTTTGCTGCCTCACAAACCAATGGCTAATTTGATATAAAAATGTCCCTTGTCACCCTGTGACATGCACCTAAAAGAGTGGAAAATCTATTACAAAATGTAAGGGAATGCATATAAATGTTTATATATACATAACCGAATGTCATTTGAACTGTTCACCAATATCCCGTACAGATAAAAGGTAACACTTTATAATAATCAGTTATAAGGCATTTATTTGGATTTACCTCTGTCCTGCCGCATCACAGCTGTGATCAAGTATCTGTTGATCACACCCTTTTGTGTATTATCAGTTAATATGCATTTACACAGTAATTGATTATCATTGTAATGTGTTGTTTGTACATTTTGCATGGCAAAATAATGTGTATGTCTACAGATGGGTGACAAATTAAAGTAAAAAAACAAGTGTCTTAGTATGGAGTCAGGCCATCATAAGCCTCCAGAAGAGCTTCAGTGCACCTCGCCAAGTCTGCTGAACTCAATTGGAGGGATGAACACCATTCCTCCACAAGACACTCCCACATTTTTATATACAACCATTATTTTATCAGATAATCTTATTGAGATGAAGATCTCTTTTGCAAGAGAGACCTGAGTACAGCAGATAGAAAGAAATACAAACATAGCCATACATAACAAAAGGAGAAACAGATCTCAAGGTGAATGTTAATATTATATTATTTGGTCTTACAGAGATGGTGGTGGAGAGCATTGTCTTATGCATTGGTCCAAAGTCTTCCATAGGTGGGAAATTGGGTTGAGATCTGGTGACTGTAAAGGCCGTAGAATTTTATTCATGTCATTTTCAAACTGACCAAACCATTCAGTGAGCCCTGGTACACGTAAGCATACAGCATACACACGTTTTTTGTGTGCACATTTCTGTCTACAATTTTGGGTAAATTGGGTGCAAAATTTGACAGGTCGAAACAATGAACACATTTTACTCAACAATTCTGTTTTCATTAAATTTCAAATAAAAAACGTAGCCCACATGATGAAATAAAGTAAACAGTGTAAGAAATGCTAACTAGTTTTGAATATTTACATTGTTAACACGTTTGCAAGACCTATGTAGGCCTATATGTCCCTAACCTAAAAGTGTGGAATTCTCTCACAGTCCATATCTGAACAATCCATCCATTATTATTATTAATTTAAGTTCTTGAGTTCTACCAAAACAAGTTCCTGAAGTATAAACATTCCTGATATAACATTTTTATTTTCCCAGCAAAAGGCAGCACATTGAAAAGTCACCAGTACAAGCCAGGAATGACCCATATTTACATATAACTTTTAAAATTTTCATTCTACTGCTGCATTCATATACAAAGCTGTTTAGATTATGAAGACAGTTGGACCCGGTTTACACAACGGCACTGGTATCAATCATAGCCTGGATAATGTAAAAAGGTATGAATCAGTGTCTGTACGGTCCCTTTAAGAAACGAATGCACAGCGCCAAAAGAAATGTATCAGGATCAGCCCTGAAATGTATGAAGACTAGACGCTTTGGGGAATATTAGTCCAATCAGAGACGTTTTAAGTAACTGAGGTTTCAATGTCCAATAGTTACAGATTTTATAGTGAGTGACAGGTATATTGACCAATAGCCTGCGATTGACACGCCTATTATGGGCACGGCCAAATACTTCCAGGATGTGCATTTACGTTTTTGTTTATCTCCACCTGATCTCCGCTGAGCAAGGCAAAGCGTGTTAAGGTGGGTATCATATACATCCATGGGGTATCAGAGTACAACCTTTACTTTTCCGTAGTAGAAAAAGCATGTGTGTATGCACAATCGTAACACACCCACATTGTATATTTACAAGAGCTTCCTTTTTTTGCCACGCAGTTGGGTGAATTACAGTTAAGCCACTCGTATAACCGCGTAAACTTCCTTCATAGTTTTCAAAGTAATTGCCACGATAGTTAATTGGGATTGTCATTTTCTTGAAAGAAGTAGCAAATAACATTGAAACTGAGAAGATAATTTGATAGTTATTGACAATAAAGACGAAATTAACTTACACAACAAGTAGTTAAGTTTGTTGCCGTTTGAATAATAATTAGCGGTAAACGTGTTTTCAACATTTATGCTGACAGGAAGTGGAATTGCTGTGAAGTGATGTGGTTTTGACATGATTGTTCATACACGTTCAATTAAAGTTGTAGCAGCGTTGCTTAACGCCATTTAGGTCATTGCTACAAAGTGTATGATAGCAAGCATACAACACTTAAAGTAACGTTATAGCTAAAGAGATCATTAATTAGCTATTTAGCCTAACGTTGGCCGCATGAATTGCCTTGTAATGTCTAACGTTAACTAATGCTAGTTAACTCATTTTCTGTATGTTAGTTAATGTTAACGTTGGTGGAACTATACTTTAAAATCACAGCCTTAATAGCCTTTTATCTGTGTTTAGGTAAAGTAGCGGTCTGCCTTACCCTGTAAGAGGAATGGATGCAACTCAGATGATCAGTGACTCAATCTTGGAGTCAGATGACGAAGAAAATGTAGAGGAGAATAGAGATAAGAGGGGACGACCATTGGCTAAACTGTGCATCTTAAAAAATGAACACATCCCTGAGGGTGGTGAGTGGTTTACCGCTGCTGTTATTACACCTGTGGTTTGTTATTTTATGTCAGCCTAACTTGCATGAACAGGTCATGTTTATATATTTCTTACAATGGACATTCTTTGTCACACAGAGTTGCCCCTGTTTTTGGGAGATAATGTGCTTGGCCGTGACCCCAACACCTGCACCCTACCTTTGCTAGCACCCTCAATATCCAAGCAGCACGCTACCATATGCATCTCTGTCTACCGGAAGAAAGGTTGTCACAGTGAAGTGGACACAGAGGCTTTGGTTTGGGACCTAGGGAGCATGAATGGGACCCGCAAGGGTCGCTCAAAGCTGACCCCTAATGTACGCTATGCCCTCAGTGAAAGTGACAGTTTGGTGATGGCAGACATCCCATGTAAGTATGTCAGCTGTGCTGTAGATGGAGTCTCTTCTCAAGGGGGGGTGAGGACTCCTGTGAGCAGAAATTCAGGGGTAAATTCAGGGGTAAATGTAAGGTTACCAGATGCCTCAGCAGAAAAGGGGGGTTACACAAGCACAGGGAGCAAGAAATGTGTCAATGGTCGTTGCCTGTCCTTTGAGCAAACTCCAACCCAGCCTCAGAGAACCCTGGTTCCAGAATCTGACTCGGACTCAGAAGGAGAAAGAGAGGGAGGAGGAGATAGAAGGCGCAAGGCTCTAGGTATGTAAATTATGTATATATGAAGAAGCGAATATATACACATACATTAAGAAGTGAATGAGAAAATATATATATATATATGTATGTATGTGTGTGTGTGTGTGTGTGTGTGTGTGTGTGTGTGTGTGAAGCCCTGTTTTTTTTTATACCCGATTTCTTACAACTTCATCTTTATTATTTTTTACAGTTTCCGATTCTGACTCCTATAAATCCAGTCCCACCTGTTCAACTTTCTTGAGTCCCACAAACAAAATTATCCCTGAAAGGTATATTAGTAACATCTAATTTGGGGCTTTAACATGTACATTAATACAGGCATAACCAACCCCTGTAAGTATGTGTTTCTATACATTTTATTCCTTTCTTTCACTTTTGAATTATAATGCTTGTCATGTTGTTTTCAACTGTTTTACAGTGAGGATGAAAGCCCCATCACACCGTCCTCCACTAAAAATAGGCCGAATGTAGATGTTGGGCGACGGCAACTGAATGAAAAAAAGGCACTTGCGATTGTGGACGACAGTGAAAAGGAGGAGGGAAGGGAGGAAGAAAGAGCAGCCCTAAGAGGGAGAAAGTCTGAAGAAAGTGGACACCATGTGCCAGTGGAGCAGGAAAGCAATGTCAGTCTTACAGGAGTAGATGAATTGCCTGTATCTACACCGGCAGTCGTCACACATGTGATTCCTGCATTTAACATGGACAGTGACACAGATATGGAGGGAGAAGAGGAAGGGGTGGCATCTGTGGGTCCTGTGACCTCAAATACAAACCAACAAGCTGATCAGCCACCAAACACAGCTCACTTCCACATGGACAGTGATACAGATGTCGATGATGATGCCTTAGACAAAGTTCCTAAATCAGTGCCTTTCTCTGCTGACACCACCAGACCTCCTAATGTTGGTTCAGTTATTCAGCCAGAGGGCATCACTATGGACAGTGACACTGATGTGGATGAGGATGCTGTTGTGTCAGATGCTGCTACAAAAGCAAAGCCCATGTCATTTCAGAGCACACACACAGCTGACTCTGCTCCTTCAAGTCAGCTGAAAGATTTCCACCTAGACAGTGACACAGATCTTGATGAGGAAGAAGAAAAGGAATGTGGAACAAATACGACATGCCCTAAAATAAATGAAACTCCGACTAGATTAGATATCAAGCCATTTGTTCCTGAACACGCCACTGCCACTCCTCACAACCTGCATCTAAACAGTGACACAGATGATGAAGCTATTCCTGCCCCTGTCATCAGTGAACCCTCTGTGGTGTCTGATCTCACAGAATCATGCACCACTGCAGACACAGGGGCTGATTTGGGTATTCTGTCTGACAGTGACACAGATGTGGAAGATAATTCTCCTCTGGTTGTACCTGTTGTTGTCACAACCTTGTCAGTTGCTCCTCATGCCAAGTCAGAAGCATTTCAGTCAGATTCTAATGCAGACACAGATGTGGATGAATCCAGTGAGCCCCCTGCCGGAGACGTGGCCAATCTAGCTGACCTTAGAGTGGACAGTGACACAGATGTGAAAATGAAGAAGTTGGATTTTGGAGAGGCAGGTGAGGGCCAGATCCCTAGCCTGCGCAGAGAAAATACACCTGGGTTGCTGGCTCCCCTTCTGCAGAACTGCTCTACTCCTACACCATTGTCAGGTAATCAGTAAATAAGTCTTCCAGTGGGAACTTAACAGAAAGAATATAGGATGCAACTGAAGATTATTTTCATGATCTATTGGGTTTATAAAATGTCAGGAAAAAAAGTGAAAAATGGCCATTATGATTTCCCACAGCCCAATGTGATGTATTCTGATATCTATTTTTTGACAAGATATTTACTTTACATGGTATATTAAAAAGTCCTTCCATTGAAGAAGCTGGGGAAACTTGGAAAAACAACAATATCAACAAAACAAACAACAGTGATTACATTAATTACAGACAGAATTACTTAAAGCCTATTCATACATTTTATTCACAGAACAAACCTGCCATATTGCAGTGGGCTCTTTTTGTAACAACTCTTCAGGTGTGGGAGTGTACTGCAGAAATTCAACGATCGAGGGAAAAGTAAATATAACTAACTGTATCAACAAGGAAAATAAATACAAGCAATAACAATATGTAATACAAGAAAAATACATACGTTGGATACATGTTGTGTATGAATAATGCTTTGGCAACATCCAGAGGAAGGAGAGGAAAATCAAGGCCTGTTGAGAGGGAGGAAGTGGGGCAGGTAGAGCAGGCTAAGCGAGCTAGAGGGAAAAAATCCATGAGGCGACAGAAAGATGATGCGGAAGAAAGTCTTCAAACAGAAAGGAAGGGGGGAGATCGATGAGAGACAGCATAGGAGGGTTCATCAAGAAAAAATTGAAAGGGAAAGAAAATAGAAGGAAGAACAAGAAAGATTGCAGACTGAAAATGCATAAGCAATAAAGAGAGTATAATACAAGAAAAATACATACGTTGCAGGCATGAGGACAGAGTTGACTTCAGCAATCTAGAGATGCTTGATATAATCTCGAAATGATCAATGAAGGGAAACCTGATTTTATTATATTTTCTTATACATTTAAAGTGGAAATCAGTTTCTCACTTTAAAGACCCCAATGACCTCCTTGATCTACTGTATAAATTTTTCTCAATTTGTAATATGAGATGTAAGCATGTTTAAATTGTCTTTTCATTTTTTAAATTTATTTTTTTTTCTTTGGGGTGGTTCCAGAAGGAGAAATTGAAGGTATGGAGACTCAGGCTTTCCTGAGTCCATCTACAGGTCCTTACTCAAGACGTGAGTGAATTACTTTTGATACATTCAAATTGCACATAACTTTGTGTCTGTTTCTTAGAGAAAGTATTTATTTTAACCTTGCACAAACGTCTTTATTTTGTGTTCCTGGTCTCCCAGGTGTAGTAGCCCCTGCTGTAAGACCTATAGGATTGTCTTCCTGCTCAGACAGCCAGGAGGATGAGGACTTTGTCGTGGCTGAGACGCAGTCCTTCGTTCTTCAGACCAGAGACTGTGAGGTTAACCCTCCGGGGGATCACACCATGGATCCCACCCAATCATTTGTCATTGAGTCTTCTGGGGATGAAAAAGGCGAACAGTCCAGCAGAGGAGGGTCTTTACAGTTGGGATTGTCAGACAGCAGCCACATGCAGCGTCAGGCTCAAGCTCTAGCAATGGAAAGCACTGAGGCTTTTCCCTTTGTGGAAGGGGCAGTGAATCTTGAAGACACCCAAGCATATGCAGCTATCTCGAATGCAGACAGAACCTCCTGTGAGAATGATTCAAATCTGGAGGCCACACAGGCCTATGGAGAGCATGTGGAACCTGTCAACTGTTCAGTCATGTCTGAAAAGGAAGTTCAGGTAGATTTGGCCCTAGAAGCAACACAGGCATACATTTTAGAGCCCTACAGTAATTCAGAGGATGAAACAGATGAAGATGAGAGAATAAACACTGCTACTGCTGAGCCTCAGCCTTTAGACTTTCCCACCTCATCTACTCTTGCCATGGCTGAAACCCAACCAATGTCTGCCTTTGAGGAAGAGGAAATTTTGGATCAAGAAAAACCTGTTTCCTCTGTATTACAAGTTATGCCCAAACAGAATGACACAGAAGAGAGGGATGAACATGGGGAGGCAGCTCTACCTCAGGAGAGGCACCTCAATGAAGCTCCTTCGGTAGCTGAAACTCAGCCCATGCGTACAAGTGATGATGAAGTGGATACAGGTGAGGTGGGAGAAAGTGACAATGAGGACTCGATTCCCGGTCCACGAAAAGGAAAAGCGAAGCCACCGCAGCTGGAAGAGGAGCAGACACAGCCACTCACTAGCTTTGAACTCTCTGCTGTTGAAACACAGCCTATGCTCACTGGTGAAGACGGGGAAAGTGATGATGAGGACTCAATTCTAGGTCCTCACAAAAGAAAAGCAAAGCCACTGCAGCTGGAAGAGGAGCAGACACAGCCCCTCACTAGTTCTCAAACTCAGCCCATGGCTACAAGTGGAAATGAGGAAAGTGATGAAGAGGATTTGATTCCAGGTCCACGAAAAAGGAAAGCAAAAGCACTGCAACTTGAAGAAGAGGAGACACAGCCCCTCATTATTTCAGAAATCTCTGCTGTTGAAATGCAGCCCATAGGTGAAGGTGGGGGAAACGATAATGAGGACGCCGTTCCACATACAAGTAAAAGAAAAGCACTGCAAATGCAAGAAGAGGACACACAACCGCTCACAAATTCTGAGGCCTCCACTGTTGAAACTCAGCCTTTGGAAACAAAAGCAGGTCTGCGTCCTCAGAGGGGAAAGGGGAGACAATTAGAAGCTGGAGCCAGTGGCATCACTATTAGAGGTAAAAGAGGGACACCAGCAAAATTAAGAGAAGAGAAGGTGGAGGCGGAGTGTTCTGAACCTTCCAAGAGACAGACAAGAGGGAAGAGTAACGCTTTGGCAACTCCCAGAGGAAGCAGAGGAAAATCAAGGCCTGAAGAGAGTGAGGAAGAGGTGGAGGTAGAGCAGGGTAAGAGAGCTAGAGGGAAAAAATCCATGAGGCGACAGAAAGATGGTGAGGAAGAAAGGCTTGGAACAGAAAGAAACGAGCATGCTGACAATAACACTCTAATAAAGGAACAAGAAGAAGAGCAATTGGGAGAGGAGAAAGATGTGACAGAGCTCAGACAACAAGAAAGAGAAAAATTGGAGAAAGAAAATAGGGAGATCGATGAAAGAGGAAGGAAACAGGAGGAGAGGAAGCACAGGAGGGAAGAGAAGGAAGAACAAGAAAGATTGCAGACTGAACCTGCAGAAAGGTTAAGACTTGAGCGGGGGAGAGCAGAACAAGAGAGAATAGAGAAGGAAAGAAAGGAACAAGAAGAAAAGGAAAGAGCTGACAAGGCACAAAAGCAAAAAGAAGAACAATTGGAGAGGGAAAGAAAGGAGAAGGAAGAAAAAGAGAGATTAGAGCATGAAAAGGCTGAAAGAGAAGAGAGAAAGAGATTGGAGAGAGAGGAGAAAGAGAGAATAGAAAAGCAAAGAAAGGAGAAGGAAGAAAAAGAGAGATTAAGGCATGAAAAGGCAGAAAATGAAGAGCGGGAGAGATTGGAGAAAGAGAGAATAGAAAAGGAAAGATTGGAGACAGCAAAGATGGAACTGGAAGAGAGACTTGAGAGGGAAAGGAAGGAACTAGAACACCAAGCAAGACTGGAGAAGGAAGCAAAGGAAAGGGAAGAAAGAGAAAAATTGGAGAAAGAAAAAGAGGCCAAAGAAAAACAAATAAAAGAGCAACAATATAACAAGGAAGAAGAAAACAAGCCCAAAACACCCGCAAGAAGTCGAAGAACCAGAAGAACAATTGCTGCCCCGTGTACATCAGAGCTGGACTCAGCTATATCAAACAATGATGATGTCCCAGCAAGAAGAACTAGATCTCGCTCCAACTCTTCCAACTCTGTCAGCTCTGAGAGGTCTGTTTCGAGTGTTAACACCAAGCAGAGCCGGGGGAGAGGCCGGGGGAGAGGAGCAAAGAGGTCCAGTGAGCTGCCCCAGGCAGCCATCGCTAGAGGCAGCAATAGGAGGAGCACGGTGGCTGTAAGGCCATTAGAACTGGACAGCAAAGATGTTTCTCCTCAAGAAGTCCTTTCGAGGTCTAACTCTACCAACTCCCTCAGCTCCGAGATTTCCAGCTGCAGCCTGAGCTCTCAGAGCAGAGGAAGAGGAGGCAGGCAGCGAGGAAGAGGAAGGAAAACAGAGGCAGCCACCATCCCTCCAATCAATAGTCAGTGTGATCAGAATTCAGCTCCCAAACCTGCAACCACGGGCAGGAAGAGCAGGAAAGCAGAGGAATCCTCTAATGAGGTTCTCAATGAAAATGAAAAGGCAGACTCTCAGCAGGCTAATACCACAAGAGGGCAGCAGCGAGCCAATGCAAATGGATCACAACCTGCAGCTGCAGGTGAGGAAGACCCCTCAAATCAGGAGGAGGGATGTGCCAGTGATGAATCAATTCTGCCCATAATGAATGTCAGGGGCAGAGACCAGAAAGCAGTAAAAAGCAATACTGTGGAGGCACCACTGCCTACTGCAGTCAGTGATGGAGAAGGTGATAAAGAGAAAACTAAAGGAAGAAAAAGAGAGTTGGATGCAAACACAGAAGAGGATTCCAGCAGTAACTCTAAGATTTCTAAGGGGAAGGAGAAACTCCAAATAACAGAAGCAGCAAAAGATGGAGCGATAGATGAGACTCCTCTCCAAGCTAAGAGAAGAGGTAGAGCATCCACTGCTCAAGCAAAGAAGAATGTAAAAGATTCCCCCACTGCACTGGAGGGGAAAGAAGAGAGTGAGAAGATTGAGGAGGCTGTTGAGAGGAGAGGCAGAAGTCGGCCATCAGCGGTCCAAAAAAAAAAGAAAGGGGAGCAGAAAGAAAGTGGAACATCTCTTGAGCAGGATACAGAGGCATCAGAGGTGACTTAATTACTCCACTTTTAAACATCCATTGGAAATTTTGAGGTCTCAGAAGTTGTTGTTTTGATTGAGACAAAAATACATTAGGGCTGAAACACCAGCTCTCAGCTCATGTAATGCTGAGTAGTATATAATGAGTGTCCAGGAACTTCTGTCCTTTTAAAAGGAAGGCTTTTACCTTGGCCAGAGGCCCCGGTGCATTTCTGTCTGAGACAGCCTTTCCCACCATCACAATGTACTGCAATTAACATCACGAACGGTCTAGGTCTCTCCCACTCTCTCACCAACAAAAGTAGTCTGGCCTGCCCTGCATCACCATTAATACACTAATGAAGTAGTTTAGTGGCCACGCAGTCACTACATACTCTTCTGTTTTATGACATTTGCTTTCTTTTCTCCATTCTCCCTGTGTGTTTCATGTTTTGTCCTTGTCTGTCGGAATTGCATACACTGTTCTTGACTGATTCTTCTCTATTCATCCATCATCCTCCCCACTTCCCTTTTTCTCCCATTTAACAGCACAAGACTCCAACCAGCAGTGTGTCCCGGAAGCGACAGGCTTCTGCAGACTCCTCACCTGTGGCGAAGACCCCTCGCTCCTCCTCCGCTTCCCCAGCAGCTAGTGGTCGATTGCGAATTGCCAGCCAAACCTACAAGGTTTTATATGCCTTTTTACCCGTAATGATAAACACATTCTAAGGGTACATTTACCCAAATAATGATTAGAGTGATTCAGTCACACTTTACAGAATTTAGAAGAAGCTATTTTTGGTTGTGCAGGTTGCTTTTGAGCTTAGGTTGCACTAAATTGCAGCTTGGTACTCCAAGCAGACTGCTCTGTTATCCATTAGGAGCGAGAACTTTATTTGAATCAACAGAAATGTATGAATGTATGATGAATTGCACGACATGGTAATGCTTTGCCCTCATTTCCAAAATGTTTTACCTCATAGGAGGACAGATTACCAGAAGCCTGTTCTTGTGAGTTTACACAGCTTTGGACCAAACAAAAACTGAAGTTCGAGACTTCTGAATAACACAGTGTGTCTGTCATTGTCCCAGGTGCTGTTCACAGGCGTGGTGGATGAAGCAGGGGAGAGAGTGTTGGCTCGTTTGGGAGGCAGCATGGCTAAAGGCGTGGCAGACATGAATTGTCTGGTGACTGACAAGGTGCGCAGGACTGTCAAGTTCCTGTGTGCGGTGGCTAAAGGAGTCCCCATTGTCACCACACACTGGCTAGAAAAGGTTAGTTGCTATATTAATACTTAAAACTGGCGCCAGAGCAGTTTTCTCTCTCTCTATGTTGAAGTATACAGACAAATGCAACACTTGACTAAAGACATACTCAAAAACACACTGGCTGCTCTTGTTGTCTTTCTCTGTGTGTCAGAGTGGTAAGGCTGGGAGCTTCCTGTCTCCTAATGCTTTCATTGTGAAGGATCCGGAGCAGGAGAAGAAGTTCAATTTCTGTCTGCAGGAGTCTCTGAGGATTGCTAGCAGTCAGCTTCTCTTACAGGTACTCTTAACTCTCAGTCATAGCATTTATTTCTGTGCTTATATTTTTCCTCTGAGTGAGAGGTTGACAATGTCATTGTGGTATTTCCCTTGGCAGATGACACAGGGGTGGTGGATAATATTGACAGTGAGGAATAGTGAGTCATGGTGGGAGTCTTTTTATCTCAGCCTCTGTGTTGTTAAATGTGCAAGCATCTTTACAAGAGCACTGTGTCAGTTGTTTACCATTACACTGTGGCTTGTGGGAAGTAATTTGACATTTATTTATTTTTAATGTACTTGTTATCTTTTATGGGCACTTCACATAGGGAGGCAGTCAGTAATGTTTTCATTTCAGTTACATGCTCTTCCTACACTGTACTGCCTCATCAAAGCTGCTAAGGGATAGTTTGATATCACATATTATGCTGATACTGGCTAAAATTGGGGACCGGAATACACGTGTAATACCAAATTCCATTCCCAGGAGCCTTGTATTGATTTCCTGTTGCAGAGATTAAATAAAAATAGAAAGAAATCATATTTGTTTACATGATGTGTACTGTATTTCTTGTCCTCTTTCTCTTTCTCTTAGGGATATCAGATCCATGTTACAAAGTCAGTGAAACCAGAGCCAATTCAAATGAAAGACATTATCACCTGCAGTGGAGCGACCTTTCTTCCCAAGGTGCCCTCTTCTCACAAGGTACCAGTCAAACTTAAAACCTAATAAATAACCTTATTTGTGGTAGTGTGTTTTCAGATGTTATCATTTAATATTTCTGTAATTACTTACTTTTTAAAAAAAAAATTCTAATTCTTTCAGCCTCACACTGTAGTGATTTCCTGCGAGGAGGACCTGCCCCTGTGTGGCCCAGCTCTCTCTGCATCTCTCCCAGTCGTCACTGCTGAGTTCATTCTCACAGGGACCCTTCAGCAGAAGCTTGACTTTCAGGCCCACGCACTCTCTGCCACTACAAGCAGTCTGCCAACTGCAGGATGCAGAGGAAGGGGCAGGAAGAAGACTTAGTAACACCAGGGTATATTGTAAAAAAGACTTGTCACTGTCTGTGGGGAGGTTTTCCATCGCTCATAGATTCTTTTTCAAATTAGAGACCAGGAGAAACTAGTGAGTCAGTTCTGTGTTTGTATAAAAAGACTTGAAGAATGTATTTGCCACATACAGCAAAATTTGATTGTTCATTTGCATGTTCCTAAACACAATGCGTGTAATTTTACTGTGCTGTCAAATGTTAAAAACTAATTTTACATGTACACCATCACGTTTTGAAAGAGAGCGATAGAAGAAACACAATTCAACTCTCAGAACTCTATTCTTACAATCTTATCATTTGCCTTGGACATGTGTAGAAAACGTAGTTTTTAAAGATTCAAAACCTTAAAGCGATGTTACTGCTACGCAGGGTGGGAAATAATTACCCATTAACCATCCTTGTCACTTTTCCCCTCTCATCCTCCCCTGTGCTCCACTTGTCTCTTTGCACAGCAATAACAGGTAGAGCAGGAATTAACGCTGCTAAATTGCTGCTGCACTGAATGTGTGATAAGTGCTTCAAGTCAGACAGTTTGGCAGGTAACCAGCCATGAATTGGGAGTTGTGTATAATCATGTTTGGGTGGTGATATAGTGGAACCGATGGGGTCTGTTTTGTAATCCATGAGCTAGGGTGGTCAGTACATGGGGGGGGGGGGCTTGTTTCCTGTCCCGATAAGAAGACGTGTGTTGTGCCTTTTATAGTGTGTCTGTTGTTCCTCTGGCTCCATTAACCACCACCACCTACTCCATTAAGGCTTCATCCAATCCTATTACCTCCAGGGGATGAGACGCACATAAACGCACCTGAATGCTGATGCTGCTTCTACATGAATATCTTAGTGTTAGTGTTTGTCCTTGCCATATATTTACCGACTGTGTGTTCATTTGATGTGAACTTGTCATGTTGACAAAGACCAGTATACAGAACAGAACATTTGATTTCCTGACCCACTGTAAATCTTTAAACATGCAACATGCATCAGCATTGGTGTTTTAAAGACAGACTTGTATAGCTTATAACTAAATTTGATTTTAGAACTGTTAAATAGCTAATATCTTAACACCAAGTTTATTTGTATCAAAGCATGAAATCTGTCTGTATTCCCTTTGAAAACATTAAACATTTTCTATTCTGTTATAATTGCTGTTATATAATAAATATAGTCTCTTTACTTTTGCAACAGTATAATTTAATCTCTATATATTGGTACTTTATAATATAGTCTACTATTAGTATGATTATTGTTTAGACTTCTAGTTGTGCTCAGTTGAGGAAATACTTACTCTTGTAGTCCTTTAGCTTGAGGATCGCTGAGGCTCAGATTTGGTTCTTGAATTTTCTTTTTGTTTTTCAAGAGGTCTTAATGATTGAGTTTGGGTTTTACTGCACACATGAGGATTTTCCAACACATCTGGGGTCTCATTTATAAAACTGCTTAGAAACCTATACGTGCTCCCAAAAGCCAAAAATGGCAGTACACCAAAAAGTGTTCAGACTTATAAAACCGTGCGTACGCACACTTGGAAGCAGGTTCCCTTTATAAATCACAATCAACTTGAAATGAGGCGCATGTGAAGGGAGCTCAATGTCCGATCCTTCAAACGCCCATAGATGCCTATAAAACTGAAACTGAAGCATGTTGTTTGGTGGGTAAAAAACGCACTTTCACACAGCGCTTGTGCACCGGAGGAAAGGGGGCACACTTCAAGAACGGGTAAACCTCCTAAGTAGTGACGTCACTGGTTGGAGGGAGACGGGATGACACAGGTACTAATTAGGATTTCCCCATTTGAAAAGAGATTAAACCGAATGTATTCCGCTTGTGTTTAAACATTTAGCTCATTTAGGCTACACAGACAGTCCACTCACTTAATGAGGCTGCTGATGAGTTAAAAGAAACATGACTTGTTGGATATGACACTGAAAGATTTCTTAAATAAAATAGTGTTACTGTCTGTAACGCCAAGCAGCGCATCACAGCCACACGCTGGCGCATAGCGTTTTAGGTAGGCAACGAACATGTGATAACAATTGGTAATATGAAACTGCACTCGTATTTGCTCGACTGACTCACTGAATTTAAATGTAGTAATGTAATGTAGTGTAACAAAATATTTGAGGCGTTCTTTTGCAGAAACAGAATCTCCGTTTGTGTTTATTATCCAAAATATGTCTTTTTGTGCGCTGCAAATTATCTTAAATTGTGTGTTTTTTGCGCACTTTAGGGAAAGTCAATCAAACGGGTGTTTTTTATTCAGAAAGGCTCTAATACTCAGAGGTAATATTTCGATTTATTTTACACAATAGTAGGCCTATTCATTTCAAACCATTCCATCCTTCTGCCACATGAGTCGACGTTTCTCATTTCTCCTCTTTATATGCATAGGCATGGTTCAGAATTTACTTACAGGACGAACATTTTCCGCCCTGTTTTGTACGTAGGCTACGCACCGTTTATAAATGAGACCCCTGGACATTTTTTATTTAAAGATTGAGCCATGACAAAAGTTAGATTTTGTGTTTTTTGTACTTAGTGAAGGAAGTTGAAATGTGCATATTTGATTATTCATTTATTTCTGGTATCTTATTGGCTAGATGAAATGAAATTTACTTTTTTTAAACAATCTAATAAATGCTTTTATTTTGGAAGAAAATTATGAACGAAGCAATACATCAAGGCATCACTCACTTTGCACGTCATTTCTTGGCTTAATTTGTTTATGGACGCGAGGCTCTGTGCTGAATCAGCATCCTCTGCGGACTGCCTGTCTAATAGCTCATTAAATAGCCCCATCTCCTCACTATCAGATGACCATAGGTGTAATTTGGGGGGCAAAGGGTGGCCGGTGTTTCCCGACACTAGTCGAGCGGCTCCGACAGTGAGCAGAGCCCGACATATTCTGAACATCTTCCAAATGTTGAGCCCGAGTCGTGAAGTGCTGCTCTTGAAGGGGGCGAAGTTGGGAGGGAGGGAGACGACGACGAGGGAGGAAACAGCAACATTCTCACAGATTTTCACCCCTGAAAGCATCCCGAGGTCTGCGCTGACTGCACCTCAGCTCCAACCGGCCAATTAAAGGTAGGCGAGCTTTCTGAGCGGTGATTTTCTTTTCCTAACATGCGTGTGCATGTGTTGTCCTACATTTGTCTGGTGCGTGACGGGTTAAATTCTGCAGATTTTTGGTTGATGCGCTTATCGGTTGTTCCGGCCCGGCGATAACTGATTAGCCTAATTAGATTGTGAAGTGTGAGGTTTATCACCAACTATACATTACACTTTAAATGAGGAAAGTATGTGATAATATGTTCATCAGTGATTTTACTGACTGAACAGTCCCGGAATGCAGCTGGCTACGGCCTCACTGGGTATTTTAGGTTCAAATCATTCACTTCTCAGCCTTCTGGTGGGATTAAGAAGGTCAAAAATAAATGCAGATGTATTTTGTAAGATGCAAGATGATCTCAGATGTTTCTTATTGCCTTATACCTATGTGAACAGCTTAAATTAAAACAGTTTAAGCCGGTAATTAATAAACCTTAACTGAAAACATTGAAAATATTATTATCACTACTACCATTATTATTATCATCATAGGAAAAGTATATAGGCTCTCATATAATCTCATTCACCTAAGGATTCTCTTCATATAAGGAAGTTATATGGTCCAATAGGCTATATGTTCTGTACAGTTAACACTTATTATAACACCAAAGATTAATAGCATCCATTACTGAGGCTGCAGCCTCCAGCCTCTCTGGCTGTGTTGCCTCCACCTGCAGTGTGCTGTTCATATGTTGTGGCCAGAGCAGCATCAAGGCCTCAGCACGAGACAATATTATAATCTCGTCTTTACCACAGACAAATTCCACGTCTTCTGTGCTCTTATCTTAGTGTGTTTGGCAATACTGCACATGGCTCCACCACCCTCTCCCTTACCGTCCCTCATGTCTAGTGATTTTAATGAATCTGACAGGTGCAATGCAATATGGTGGAAACCTGTCTTATCCTTTAGTTCACTGCAGCCTGCTTTGGAGGAAAATAGGTCAGCTACAGGCTTCCTACCAAAGATAAACTTTAGAAATTACAAGTTTGAGTTTTGTCTAGACAAGATTTTCTGCTTGTTTGAGCCTCTTTTCCCTGCATCATGCCTTTTTGCTGTGCTGATCTGATATTGATGCAGAGGTTACCAGTTTGGACGTTTGGATGCATTAAAGTGGGACATTTATAGTGTTAAAATTTTGAAAGCACCTCATTTCGGCAAAGGGAGACCCCATATTTGTTTGAAAGTGGTGCGGATAAAGTAAACATTCAGCCATTTTAACATGTCTGTCTCTAGAAACCTTTTTTTCCCTTCTTTTTGAAGCCTCATTATTTACAAATGTCTAGAGCACTGCGAAGAATGTACAGTATGCCTGTGTGTACATCTGCACCTGTAAATGTGCATTTGAGCTTGTAGGGAATTAAGCCAGCTAAATATCAGTGTACATTTTGTAAGCTTTGAAAATAGTATACCCCGTTTATGATTTCTGTAAAACTCCATATTTGGACAGACAAAATGTATGTGCATGCACATTCGTGTCTATAGGGACTCTGGCCTGAAATTAACTTTTAAGTGTTGGTCATCTTGTGTAGATGACAAGAATTTAGGGTTTAATGATTTGAGAACAGGGTAGCTAACAACAGTTTAGGAAAAAGAACAAATTAACAGGGCTGTTGCCAAGAAGACAGGATGTAGGCCTAAGGGAGTTTAACCAGAGTTAACAGAAAGGTTACAGGTTAAATTAGACTTAAACATTTGAATAAGACAAGAATGTTTCTACATTTATGCCATTTGAAAATATATGTAAGGATTAAGGATTCTCTCTATTTAGATGTATAGTTTGCATGTTTAAACAGATGTGCTGGACAAAAGTATTATTCCAGGGAATTGGACACTCAGGAATTTCCAGGCATGCAGCCAAAAAGGCATGCTTATTTAATAACTTGATTTATCACTAAGTTTGAACATTTGTTGGGAAAATTCTATTGGAGTCAAAAAGTGATGCTGGTAAATTTGAGCCATGTGCGTTGATTTGGGTATAAAAAGTGAAGTGAGGAGAGAAAGGGCTGTCAGAGAGAGGTCCTCTCGGTTTGCCAGGAACTAAGGTAATATAGATAGGTTAAATTATAATTCATATTGCCCCAGAAGCAATATCTTTAAGGAAATATTGACTGATATCTGAATTATAATTTCCATACCAAACTTGTTATTATTGTTCAATTTACTGATTCTTAAGCTCTTTTAGAATCCATACTCATTTTTTTTATTCCTGTAAATAAATTATTGTAAGACTTTTATCCAGTCTCTATGGTAATTTTCTGATTTATATTTCCATGAGAGAAAATCCACCACATAAATTCACGACAAGCTCACTTGTAGCCTGAAATAATAATAATAATAATAGAAAAAAAAGCCATTTATCCTCATCACTTGTGCAATGGAAAGGAGTAAAGTGAAAATGAAATACAAATGATGAAGAGTAAAGACAGAGTTTGCTTTGTAGGCTCCCCACATCTGCAGTCATTGAAGGCATTTCCGCCTCTTTAAAGCCCAGGGACAAAGACCTGTCTGTCCTTCCAGTAAGTAGGGAGTTTGAAGTAAGAAGGAACACAGGCACAGGCTTTGATTTCAGAGTGGGATGCACTGACTTCGATTATATAAGATAAGGAGGAGGAGAGGATGAAAGAGACATAATAAATGTAGAAAGAGATCCAGGGAGAAATGCAAAGAAAAAGGGAAATGAGATAGATGCCCTGAGTAGGGAGCGGAAGATTTGGGTTGAGAGGAGTCATACTGAGAAGACAAAATGTGGTGGAAAGAAAGCAAGAGATGATACGGAGCTGTCAAACAGGGGCATGGAAAGTTAAGGAAGGCAGCAGAAGAGGACCAGTACTTGAACAGGCTTGTGATTGTGGTAGAAAGTACTACTTGAAGATGTGAGTGGTGACAGAAGTGAGAAAATGGAAGAAAAGAGGGAAGAACAACTGGAGAACCCAACAAGATAAAATAAAGTGAAGCAAAGTGAAGGGAGAGAGAGGCAGGGAAGGATAGCAGATGGCATATTTGTCTATGGCCCATGGTTTGCAGCCCTAAGGACATTGTGTGAATACGCTTATAATATAGCTTGCATGTGATTTCATCTGCTTGCATTTTGTGCTCAATGAGGCGTCCCTTAAAGTGGCCTCAAATGCTCAAAATTACACTGAAATGAAGGAGAAGATTTTAGATTTCTTGCTTCACAGATCTTGCGTAGAAACACCAGATTGGCTGTGGTGACTCCTTGAGGCCTACTGCTGTGACAAACAGATGGACACGGTTCCCTTTTCTCTTTCTTCAGAGCCAACCAAGCCCACATCTCAGATTGCTGTATTAATTAAACGCTGACAGCTGCAGGGGTCAACAGTCAGTATTTTTATTTGAAGGTTATGATGCAGTGTCCTCGAACGAGGGTTCAACGCCTGAGAAGAAAGCAAAATTTCCCGAAACAAGGATGGGGACTGCAGTAATAAAATTACAATGTAATCTGAGTTATATAGATAACTGTAGCAAAGGACACTAAAGGTTTGTTTGCCAAGAGACACTGTTCTGTGTGACGCAGCTTTGCTCCATATTTTGTTTCAGATACAATAAAATCAGTGGGCTTTTAGGCTTTTTGCCCAGAGTGTGGTGCGCTGATGTTGCTGACACAATGCAGAGGGTTGTACAAGGGATTTGGTGAAACAGCAACATTGGTGGTCAGATAATGACACTGTGAAATGTTAATTATTTCCATTAAACAATGAGAGAAAATGGCCCCTCTGCTGTTGCTCTTCACAAATATGTTCAAATCGCACATATAAAAAGACAGACAGGTGGCAGACATTGAAGATGGCTTAATGCTTCGTCATTTCCTACAGGATTGGGATGTCTTATGATGTCTCCTCTGTTACAATGAGACACTTTAATCTTTACTGCTTGTTTATTAGCTACTGCAAAGTGTGACTGTGAGCACTGCAGGTGTTTGCTCCCAGTCTTTGTAAATGAAAACTGCAGCAAAATCTCTTTTGCACATACCCTCTTGATGTGTTGTCTCAGTGTAGCAGAACGAAGTTCACTTCATCATAATCCCCTCAGTGTTGCCATTAAGGACAATTCTTCTCAGAAACCGTCAGGTCTTGTGGGAAAACACGCTTGCCCTGCAGCCCTTCTTGTTCTGGACATTTCCTGTTTGACACAATGGGAGTGTTGTATGTTACACACTGGAATGTGTATGGAGAAGAAAGATTCACACAGTAGGCTATGTAGCATACTGGTAAATCCTTCTTTTGGCCAGATGGCCTACATTAGGACATTTCTGATGTGAGTTTGTTGTCAGAGCTGCTGAGAAGCTGACAGCAGTGTTAGAACCAGGTTAGAACAGAAGGGCATGCAGGTTTAACTCTGGGCTGAGGGTGAATGATGAAGATGATAACTAGGCTGCAAATAAAACATAAATATCAAAAACCAAATGAAATTAACAACAATAAATCCATCTATATCAGTAATCTGGATTCAAAACATTTAATAAAGACACAGTACAGACCTTCATTTAATACTGCCACCTGCTGGTAGAAAGGGGAAACAGCTTGGTACATTACGGTGGAAAATATGAATTTAATATTAAAAATATAGCACTGACAGTAACAACTCTGCACACAAAATAATTTCTTAGGTTAACCTATATTAGCCTACCAACTGTACTGCACCAAACAATGTGTTTAAAAAAACGTGATTCTTGCTGTTTACATGAATAAATGCACAATATTATAGTGCATGTAATCAACTGCTGTTGCTAACGTATTTCTCTCGGTCCAGGTTTATTTATTTATTTTCATCTAACATCACCCTGGTATAATGTTAGTGCTGCATAATGCTACAGGTCCAGCCGTTCTAAAAGCTTGGCTTTTATTTTAATATCTGTACTCTTACTTCCGGGTCACCTGGCCCACCTGTCTTTCTTTACTTAACGTCTATCTTCAAACGGAGAAATAAAAATAGGAATTTCAAAAAACCAAAAGCGGACCATTATTTGAATTTGGTTTAGTCGTAATTTCGTTTTTGGATTCAGAAACCAAAAAGTGGAGAACGGCTCTTTTTCCCCGTTTCTTCGTTTTGTGGTTTAAACGAAAAAACAAACGTCAGTCAAAATTAGAACGTACACGGACCCAAACTGTCTCTCAATAAATTAAAAGTGACAAGATCAAACTAAGAAACACTGAGCTTCTCAAAGAGTGTGGAGCGCAATGCGTGTGTGCCTCGGTAGGTGCTTCAGTCATCATCACATGACATCACGTTCCAAGGGACACGCCCCTTGGAGGTCAGAAAAGACTTTCAGCTGCCCGCCAACCAGGAAGAACAAGCGATACATTTACTTTGAGTCTGTCGCTTTTATGTTGCCAAAATGCCGGATAGTTGTTGTGCTGTCGGGTGCACTAATCGAAGAGGAGACAAGCCTGGGCTGTGTTTCTATAGAATCCCGTCCGATAAAGAAAACCCAGAGAGGAGGAGATTGTGGATTTGTGCCATTAAACGTAACGTTACCTCTGTCTCCGGGGAGGGCAAACAGTGGCAACCGTCCAAATATACACGTATTTGCAACGAACACTTCATCAAAGGTAAGCTCAAGTAACGTTAAACACAAGTAGCCTATATACAGGTATAATAATTATTGTATTTTTTGCCATAAACACGGTTTGACATAGTTTGTTGTTTATCGAGGCGACCAACTGCAGTGGTCGTATTGAGTTAAAGTTAGCTACGTTAAGTTAAATAGTTGGGTTGTTGTGTAGACGCAAGTAAACTCAAAATGTATTTGAAATAAAATGATTTGGAAATCCCTTTACACCGATATTCAGCTGAATGTAAAACAAAGACAATATGTGAGGCTTGTGTTAAGACTGATACTTAGTCTTAACACGTTTTTATTTACGTTTTTCACAGCATCCCAACTTTTTTTGGAATTGAGGTTGTAATAAAAAAATAATTAAAGGAAAATTTGACTTTCCGTTTGAATAGTTAGCATTTGTTTAAGAGAGAGAGAGGGGTTAGCTAGTCTACAGTAATGATATCACATATATAAGTGGCTCTTTTTTTAAGTTGTTGCACATAAACTCTCTTATTATAGGTACTAAATCTGATGACCCGTTGTCCCCTGACTGGGTACCATCCATCTTCACACACACCCCAGCCATTAAGAAGAGGAAAAGAAAGAAAGACACTGAGAGGTATGAGCAGCACAACAGAATGAAGAACAGGAGGGTGGAGGAGAAGAAGAGGCAAGATGCAGTGGATGTCCTCCTAGAACTGTCATCAATGCCTGATGCTGAGCTGGCGACACTTGCTGAGGAAGAACAACAGTGTGACAACAGACCATGTAAGGACAAGATGGAAAGATTACAAAGGGAATGTAATGAACTCAGGGAGGAAAATCAAAGGCTGAAAGACAATATTAAATTAGGGATAGTTGATTAATCTGTACAATGCTGAGCTTAAGATCCCAGCCTTTACCAAAGGGAAAAAGCATCTTGGTCCTGTGGAATTGGAGTCCACACAAGGACTTGCATCAGTACGGATCCATGTTGAGAGAGTTATTGGTGAGGCAAGGAATGGATACACCGTACTTCAAAGTACAATCGGAATTCAAATGTGTGAAGCTGAACACCCAAAAGGTCTTAACACCTCTAGATAAAATAGCCCATGTGTGCTGTGCATTGACAAATTTGGCTCCCTCAGTTGTTCCTTTGGGCCAAACATTAAAATGGGTGTTGGTACACAATTGATTATTTCCATCAATGAAATAATGATGGGAGATGTCACTGATAAATTCATACTTTTATTGATAAATCACTAATTTGATGTTTGTTTGCAAAGTTAAAAAAATAATTTCAACAGTCATTAATTCCAGACAATAACACGGTTTTCTAAAAAAGCTAGGGAAAAAAAAGCAAGTAATACATGGAATAAAATAATCTGTGTCCTATTTCTGGTCTCATTAACAAAGTACGGGACTCCCACTGACACAGATACATACTGTAAATGTTTGCACATGTAAATAAAATGTAAATATTTTGTATATATACAAAAGTCAAAAATATATATCACTTCACAAACTGCCATATTGCACATATTTCTTATTATTCTTTTATATTTTGTCAATTATATAATATACAAATACTCTTTCCCTGCAATATATTTGCACAACACAAATCCAGGGTAATGCACATGTATATACCTGCCAAAAAACATTGCTTTTTGTGTGTTTTACACAGTTCTATTGTTGTATAACTTGCAAATGTTTATTACATATTTATATATTTTTACATTTATTTATGTCAACATTTTTGTAAAAAAAAATTGAATTTATATATAAAGTATGTGGCCTGTGTTGAATAAAACAATTGAAACTTATACTTTGTTAAGTTTTTTTCTGTTATCCCTCTTTTGTTTGGATCTCCCGCATACACTCGCTGCATTTCCAACTTGACATCTTCAAATGTGTAGTGTTAAGTTTCAAGCAACTTTTGTGAATGTACTGTCTTTTACAGATTCCTTACTTACACTCAAGTCTATTGTCAATATGCAGGACAGGGACCCTGCAGTAACAGGCTATGCCTTCAGATGGTTTGGTGGTATGTGATAATGGTAGAATAGGACCTGTAAACACTTTTGCTACTAACTCTGGAATGATGCACTTCTGGACAAATGCGTGTACCTTTTTACATATGGTGTCAAAAAAGTTAGTATCAGGCAGTATTCTCTCAATGTAGATTTCCCCTTTGTTTCCACCCCCTAGTCCCCAGACAGCAAAGTCACAGTAGCTCGCTTGTGTTGTGATAAAAGTGCTGATGGTCCCTCTTCAATGAAAGCTTACCCTCAACCTCTTGAAGACAAAATGTGCTGTCCTCTTTGCTTTCCTCCAGTAAAGTGCTCTTCTAAAGGCTGCTGGGTGCCTTTACCTCGAACACATCCATGTCATGGCAGTCACATGTTAAAATGCTGTCTGGGGTTGCCCCTAACCATGGGTATTTAGGGTTGATGACCAGTCCTCCCTTCCTTGATAGAGAGATTTGTTTGGTGGCTCTCCATTGTCTTGGCATACTCCTCAACTACCTTACTTGCGTGTTCATTGCCCCATCTGAAAACAGAAAAAATCGTGTACACCTTAAGTATCCAATGATAGAAATAAATGTCAACTATTTAATAAATGACTGACTGTTTTGATAATCAGTTAATTGTTTTGACTAATTCTTGTCCACATTCTTTATTTTCAAACGGTGAATATTTCCTGGTTTCTTTACTCCTCTGACTGAATTTATTAATAATTAGCAGTTTATCAATTACTCCAGAAAATAATCAACAGATTATAGGTGAAAACCATCACTAGCTGCAGCCCTATCCTAATCATTTGTATTTTACCAGCAAGAGAATGTAAGGGGATGTAAATCACAAAAGTGATGGGGAGGGGGAACATGGTGATGTGCAGAAAGGTTTTTCATACATCCTTAAAATACTAACCTGTCACAACATTTGGCAAAAAAAATGCTTAAATCTACACGTGGACTACTTGCATGACCGATTGATTTGAAACCTGTTACTTTGCAAGTGGTTGGTACGTAGATTTAAGGCGTGCTTTTGTATAAGTCTACTATGCTGTGAAAGATGAGTTTTGTAGATGAAGATGTAATTTTTTTTTCTACTTGGTAATTCTGATTTCAGTATTTTTTGTGCTGCTCTCATCCAGTGTGGATGTAAATACCTGAGTGAGTGTGGTGTGTTGTTGGTTGGGGCCTTGTAGGCCACAGGGTCGCCACAGGTTCTTCAGCAGGGAGACTGCTGCTTCCACAGGACTCGTGTGGCAGGCAGCACTAATGTTTAATGCAGTCACCCTTCCTGCCTTCTGGTCAAACCACTTGGCACATTTTGATTGAAGTCACGTCTTCCTTTCTATTGCATGCAACAAGTTTGTAATATGTGACAAATATAAACAATGATGAATTAACATTTATTCAAATCATTAGAAATGTTGAATTCTGTGGATAACTCTTCTACACTGGTGCCTGTGATATTCCTGACATTCATATCTTTGATCATATTTACTGACTGACCTGTTCTTCTGTTATGCTTAACCCTGTAAAAACCTCTTCACTCTTTACTTGCAGCACTTGGTGTGACAGTGACATGTACTCGGGCTTGTAGATATTTGCTTAGGGGTGCAGGGATGTTCAGTTGCATGGCCCGAGGTATGTACCTCTTTTCATGGCCAGGGACAACAGACAAAATGGGGGCTTTTTACAGGTTGATATTCAGTGTCTTCAGATAGATGAAACATTTTGTAGAATGATGTGCATTCATCTGGGGTTGGAGGTGAAAACTTGGCAGGGGGGAGGACACCACGCCCATCAACAGATCTCTTTCTCTGGGCCTTTGGGAAAGCTATCTGGCTCTCTATTTTCCCAGGAATCATCTGTGCATGCAGTGCAAACCGTGATCTAGTGTTAACGTTACTTAACGGTAGTACTCACCTTTGCTTTTACAATGCATGTCACGTGACTGAAAACTGATATTAATATTCAACAAGGTCGAGCAATATCTGTCACCTAGATGTCCTCTAATAACCCCTCTCTACTGATTTAGAACATAGAGAAATATAAAAGTAAAGTAAGATACAGTGTATGTACAATTTTAAGGGCAATAAAATAATGTTGCCTTTCTATGAACATACATTATCCTTTTTTCTGTCTAGACACAAAAGAATCAGCCAGGATGGCGAAAGTCAGTGTGATGGCATTCAGCTTTCTGCTCACCACAGGTATGTTAAGAAAAATTAGTAATGCTGTTTCCTACCGTAGTGATCTGGAAATTTTCTCTTTCCGCCAATGCAAGTGTTCAGTGTTCCTCGTGCAACACTGTATTATTTTCTCAGGAAACACAGTGTTATTTAAAAGTATATGGTGAGTTTGAAAGTACTGGAACTCTGAATTTTTCTAATAGACAACTATGTTATATATGTCTAGACTGATCTACAATTGTTTTAATAGAGAAGACATGACTCAGACACTGATTGCAGTTTCACTGATGAGAGTCTTAATATTACTGGTATCTCTTTGTATACAGCTCTTTCTGCTCCCGTTAAAGGTAAGACATAGTTTGCCAGTGCATCATATATAGCATCAGATATAATTCTGACTTTTTCTCTCATCACTTATAAATTGTTGACTTTTCTTGCCCTCTAACGTGTTTGTCAATGCTTCCTCTGTCCTTTGTCCATCATTAAGTCTTAGAGGACTCAGTGACCTTGTTCCATGGGGAGAATTTCCACATCATGCTGCCTCCAGTTCCTTCAGAGGTCACATTTCGGAACAGGTCTTCTCCGAGGTCAGCTGATCTAGTCTTGATGCGGGGAGACACTGTGGTCAACAATCGGGTCAAACTCAACGCCCAACACCTCATTATAAACTCTGTAGATGAGGGATACGAGGGCGTGTACACCATCAAGAATCTAGACAAGCCAGAGGACATCAGACGCATTACTCTTGTAGTCCGAGGTACTTGATGACATGAGTGTAATGAAGCACAACTTCATTCATGGCTGACACTCTCACAGGCAGAATCTGGATTTCAATTCAAAACACCAATTTAAAATCTGCTGGAAAACTCAAATTCATAAAATTCAAATTCATATTAGTGCCACTTCCTTTTGGTTTACATCGTCTGTGACACTAAACAGATAGGTCCAAATTATAAACTATACATTTAATAGTATTATATATATATATATATATATATATATATATATATATATATTCGATATATTGAATGCATATGTTCATTAATCCAATAAGCCAAATTTCTACATTTAATACTTTGATACATTAAGTACATTTTGCTGATAATACTTCTGTACTAATAAAGTAATGCTTTCAGTGCTGGACCTTTATTTGTAATGGAGTGTTTTCACATTGTGGCATAGTTACTTTTACTTACGTAAAAGATTTGACTACTTACTCCAACGCTGGATGACATCAGAGACACAACCCCATCATGAAGAATAAGCCTCTAATATCTGATCAGTCAGAGTAGTGCAAGAGCTGTCATCTCTCCTGCTTTAATCATTCAGTCAGCAGCCGAATAAACCTCTCAGTTACACATCCTGTTTGTCCTCACAGCGTTACAAGTTTCAGCAGTGTTGACTCTGGACTCTTCTGATGAGATTAGACACAAACACATGCACACACACACACACACAAACATGAGAGAAGGAGGGAGTGATTCAAACACTCAGAGGGAGGAGTGGACTCAAACCCAGCATGGATAAAGGCGACTGCAGTGTAGCAATATGTGGAAGATGTGCTATATGGAGGGAGTAATGTGTCGTGAGGTGATGAGTGTGTGTGTGTTCTCAGATTGTGAGTGCATGCAGGAGCTGCCAGGCAGTAATTATGCAGTTCTTTAACTACCAACCCACTCCTCTCGCCTTCCCTTCCTGCTGTTTCCCTCTCTTTATCTTGTCTTTACAGTCTTCCCCTCTATTTGGTTTGTATCTCTACCCTTTCATCAGTTACCCTGATATATTTGGATCAGTGCTACTTTCTGTGCAATCTGCCCCCCTTTTTGCCACATCTGTCAAGCCATTCCCCCGTCCTCTCGTTCCCTCACCCCTTCACCCCATCTGTCCTTTCTCTCACTTAAACTCTATTTCTATATTTTTTTTCATTCACCCCCAGCAAATAAACTCTCTCTCTCCTCTGTACTGTAATTAAACCTCTTGCTTCCTTTTTTACTGAAGAACAAGCTGTTAACCACCCTGCTTTTACCCTCTAGATTGCTCCAATGAGCAGATTATTAAATATGGAGACAACTACCATATTCCGCTGTCAGGGGTGACTCCTCCCATCACCATGGAGTACAAGCCAATTGCTGTGGAGGCCAACCTGACATCTAGGTAAAGTCAGCAAAATTATACTGATATTTTTCCCCAACAGAATCAGTACTGACATTTTCCTACCATGATGTACATGCACTGGGACAACATGTCTTAGACCTACTAAGAAAAGGTTGGGGAAAGTTCATCCTCTTTGACTTTACCTCCTGCAGACCTGGTCTTGTGCTGCTGACCAGCACAGGGATATCCAGGGGTGGCTACGAGGGTCGAATCAGTGTCAGCGAGCGCCACGTCACCCTCAGTGCTGTCACTGGTGCGGACGAAGGTAGCTACAATATCAGGGATGGCAAAGGTGTTATCCGAAGGAAAGTGTGTCTCAACGTCAAAGGTGAGAGCCCAAATGAAGACAGATCATATATTTTATCCTCTCCCATGCTTGACCTTCCGTCAGGATGATGTTGTTGTTTCCTTTCTAGTTATAACGCTCCTCTTGTCTGCCTTAATGGCTTTTTACAGTCGAAAACGTTAATGGGCTCAAGCAGGCTAATGCATTTTATATGATCCTTGGGCCTGTAAACAGAGCTGTGATGTATTGTACGTCCTTGCTTCTCCTCTGCCTGTCTGTGCCTCAGAGCATCAACACTTTGTGACCCTGCCGTATGGTAAAAGGCTGAAAATCAACCTGATACTGAACAGCTCATTGGTCCAGCTCTACTACACACCCGAAAAGGACCCTACACCCCGTCTGCTGCTGGACAAGGGAGAATTTACAAGTGTAACTGAAGCCTATTGTTTTATTTTTCGCCCCACCATTGTGATTATTATCTGTATTTTACAGCAGATATAGACAAAAAAAAATATTATTATCAAAAGGGCTTTAACGTTTAAATCACTAAATCACCATTAAAACAGAGGTGGGGGATATTGCTGTAGGTTGCACTTCATTTATAACCGATTAAAAAATATATATAAAGAATGATGTACTGTATATATATTATAAAATGTACAATGAATGCTTTTCTATATGAACATATAATATGTGCGGTTAATAATAGGTTTCAAATTCATATTGTAGCAGTGGGCTACCCTATCTGAAACAAAAATATTAATACACTTAATACAGCAGAGGCATTATTTCTCACAGCACAATCATTCTGTTTAATGTGATTTTTCATTGGTTAGGCTCTCATTAGTCAACTAAATGAAATAATTCAATTCATTCAGCTTCTTTGCTGTGCAGTTAAGGGTTTCAATGTCAGTCTTTTCATTCTAGGCCCAAACTGAGCTGGGTCTTGAGGGCCGTCTCTCTTTGGAGGATTCATTGGTTGTCCTGGATCAGGTCAAGGGTGCAGATGCAGGCCAGTTCAAAATCACTGACATTCTGGGGTTCACTGTGTCCAGCATCCACCTGCAAGTACAACGTAAGGATGGGGATGGGGATGATGCTGAGAAGGAATGATTTAAAAATGGGCTAAATTGCTGCTCAAAACATAGTAGGGCCTAAATAATTGTTTTGTGGGTAAAAAGAAAGGATAATCCCTTTCTTTTGTCTACTGTATTCATGCAATAGAATTTTAACACGCCAATGAAAGGTCAGCTGAATTATTTACTCTCCCACTTCTCTCCTTCTTGCACCTTTCCCACCATGCCTACATGCAGCCTACAAGCTGGAGTCACTGTATGTGGCGATCATTGCCCTGTTGGGCCTGCTGGTTTTCCTTCTGCTGGTTTGCTTGCTGTCCTGCCTGATCAAAGTGAAGAAGAGGGCCAAGAGGGCTGCTGCCCTGGAGAAGATTGCCCAGAAAGATAGCAAAGAAGATGAGGGAGAGGCCTTCAGACAGGTTGGAGGGACAAATATACAACTGACAATGTGGTGATGATGATGATGTGTATCCTGATATAATGAATTTTATTGTTTTTGACTATTGTTTTGCGTGCATCTTCACAGGTGGTCAAGAACATCACCAAACTCAGTGAGGAATCTAAGCATTCCCAGGCTGACAATACTGAGAAATCTCAGAGCACTGAGGTAGACATTAAGGTAAAGATATGTAATATATATGTCTTAACTCTGAGTCTTTGAGTAGTTTTAATAATGTCTCCATTTTTATGCTGTTTTCTGCGTTCAGACAGCTGCAGCTTATTCAGAACGCTGCTGCTAGAGTCCTCAAGAAAGTGGATCACATCAGTCCAGGTCTCAGATATTTGCAGTGGCTTCTTGTGTGACAAAGAATTGATTTTATAATATTACTATTGGTTTTATAAAGCAATGAATGATTTAGGTCCAAAATACATCTCTGATCTGCTGCTGTGTTATGAATCATGCTGACCTCTCAGGTCTTCTGGGACAGGTCTAATTTCTGTCCCCAGAGTTAAAACTAACAACAACAAACTCCCAGAAAACCTGAGAGCTGCTCCAACTCTAAGTTCTTTTAAATTTAGGCTTAAAACTTTTTTGTTTGCCACTGCCTTTTTATTAAATTAAATTTCAGACTAGTCATTGGTATTTTGCATTGCACTGTAGCCTAAGCTGTGATTTTTATTCCCTTGTTTTATTCTAATTTAGCTTATTATTATCTTGTATTTTTAAAATGATTTTTACTCTTTTTAAATCCTATTTATATGTTCCCTTTATATTGCCTTGTGTGTCTGTTATATCTTGTCTTAACACCTTTTCATTTCTCAAGAAAAGCACTTTGAATTGTCTTGTTATTTAGAAGCGCTGCACGAAAAAACTTGCCTTACCTTGTTGTCTCTTTGAACAGGGTCTGGAGGTCTCTTCTAAAGAGGTCGGGGTTGACAACCTGGAGACCAGTGACTCTGGAGTTGGCTTTAACACCGCCCTCCCGCTGGACACTGACACTGATGCCCCTGATCAAATCTCAGACTCTGTGGCTGTAACCATCTCTGTTGCCCCTGAAACCAAACCAAGTCCACCATCTGCTGCTGAGTCCAAGCCAAGTGCTCCACCAGCTATGGAAATTAAGCCCAGTCCTGTAGTTGAAACTAAAGCCTTCCCAGCACCTGAGGCCAAAACAACCCCTGATCAGCCAGTGGAAGCAAAGTTGGACGTGCCCAAACCAGCAGATGTTAAGCTTAGCCCAGCCCCGAGCCCTGAGCCCAAGGCCAGGAGTCCAGCTGATCTGAAGCCTGCTCCCATCCCAAGCCCGGAGCCTAAACCAGCTGCTCCAAAAGCCACCACTCCAACACCTGAAAGTAAGAGTGCCCTGACTCCCACACCTGAGCCCCCTATTACCAACGGTACACCTGAGCCAGGCCCGGATTCCAAACCAAGCCCAGATCATGCTGATATTATTGGAGGCTCAGCTCCAAAAGCGGCTCCCCCAAAAACCCCTGAAGTGGAGCTGAAATCCAGTGGTGCCGCACTGGAGGCCACCAAAGACGGCACTATGGCTGAGGATTCAACCACCACCACCTGAGAACTTCCCCTGAAAAAATCCAAGAGAAGCCCCACAGATTTTCTCTATCTACCACCACTGTAGACTATCAGACACCCCCTATCAAATAATGAAGAAACCACTGAAACTGGGGCAAGGACCTTGGTTTAACAAGTCTAATGCCTGAACACAGTTTTAACTTGATAATAATATTTCACTTGTCTATAACTAACACGTAATCTTTGAGACTTTCTGATTCAGAAAAACTTCACACAACAAATGCGGTTGTTGATTGTTAAACATTTAAGTCCACTACAATTACAATGTTAAGTCAACATAAGGTCTTTTCTAACACAGTGAGTTAGCCAAAAAGGTTTACAACATTTCATTGAAACTAGACCATACTAGAAATTCCCATTTAGATGTTTGTTCCTGTATCAGCATGTGGATAAAACCAACTGCATGACATTTTCTGCCAATTTCATCTCAAACCTAAATTAAAATGCCTGATGTCATTCTTCTGATTTGACATCATCAAAATGGAAATGAAAGACCTTTTGCTCACACAAACAACACTCAGTTGTTGGCATTTTGTACATAGCTGAATTGTGGATGTTATCAGTTGTGCCAGTCCTCTGCCTTCAAACATCTGCAATACATTTTCACATATAGAAAAAAGCACAACTTTAGCCACACAAGAAACCATACTAATAATACTAACCTCACTATTTATAGTCTCTGAGACTGAGATTCAGACTCCCAGTGGATATCTCAGATGATTAAAATGTGTTTTGCAGACTGATCCCTCAAGTCTGGATCAACCACTTTACTGTCTTTGATCTGGATTTCCCTGTGGCTCTGTAAAAAGCCCATTATTCCTGCAGTTTAATTTGAAGCTCATGCCAGCAGCAACTCCAGACACTTGGGACCGCTATGTTCCCACTGTACATTGAGCTCTACAAAGGTGAAATACTGAATGAAAACATCTTTTAAGTTCAAATAGTGAGAACATGCTTGTTTGCTTCTTCTTTTCTTATCCTTCCCACCTTATTTTGTCTGTCATTCTTTCCTTGATCCTTCCCCCTCATTCCTTCCTCTTTTCTCTGCTTTCCTTCATCATTTTTATCTTCTTAAAATGAAGATATCTTCTCTCTCGCCTGTCATTCACCGGTCTTGTGTGAGTTTTGCATGCTTGCTCTGCTGCCGACAACTTCATGCAAATCACTGTTCCTCGTGGGTCAATTTCAAGTAGCCGGCTATTTAAAAACGATCAAATATTCTTTGTGTGGTTCATCAACAGTGATAAATTATCCGAAAGTCTGCGAGGTGCAGAAAACTCAGCACAACACCAGTGAAGCTGGGTCTCAGTCTCTTCAGCAAGTGTTCCTCTTCTGCCACCACACACACACACACACACACACACACACACGCTACGCCTACACATGCACATTGACGACCCAGGGTTAGGGTTACAATTTTAGATTTATTTACGCACTTTTAAAAACATTTACTGAAAGTTTTATTCTTTTTACATGTTTATTTACAGCATTAAATGTTGAATTGTATACTGTAATATGCTGTATATTAACTTATTGGGAGAAAACTAGTAGTTCTATGTAAAATCAGAAGTTTGAGCACCCCTATATCGCCAAAATAGCATGATCCTTGTTTCGCTACAAAGCTTCGACCATGAGACTGAATCAGGCTCCGCCCATCGAAGCATTGAATCTTTGACTATTGGAGTTCAGCCCTACTAGCTTTCCTGACTTATAGGTTTTTCTTACAAGTAAATTAATATCAGGCGATGTCTTACCTTTTAAAAAGCCATATGACTAGATACATTTAGATGTCAGATTTGATACTAAGATCAATAAATATAATATATAAACTAAAACAAACAAAAAAATTTAAATCAAGGGGCCTCGATGTTTTGGACACATTTCCAGTTTATTACTGGATCTTAATATTAGATATTCAGTTGTATTTCACTTGAACAAAGGCATTCTAATGTAGAACATGTACGACACTGGATATGCCTCATCCTTCTAGCCTGGATCTGTGAAGGAACCACAAACCCATTTTTTCAATACTGAAAATTGTCTTTATACAATATACACAAACCAGACACACACATTCCAGCCTTGTAAATATTGCATGTGTACGGCACTTTAACCCCCTTAAGCCTGAATGTTCTTAGTGCATAGAATGGTTGTTATACTATACTCAAAAATAAAGAAACTACTCGCCAACTTTAAATCCAGAACATAAAATATATACACATACAGTACTATATACTATAAACACTAATATTCATTAAAACTATTGAATTTAAGAACCAAATATTGTAAAAATCCATCAAGACTATATGAGATCTTTTTAGATCAATTATCTGCTCTTATTGCCATTCCAACCTGATGATACTCAAAGCATACAACATCTCTCACAGTATTTACATGTGGTATTAAAATGTTTAACCTGTGTCACCTAAAGCATTGACTGCAGCATGCCCACAACATGTCCAGAGTAACAGGCGTTTATTGTCCTAAAGTTGTGTCTGTGTGTGTGACCAAAGGAGTGATGTTTTAATGTTGCGACCATTGTGTGTTCAGGTTTTCTGTGTTTAAGTGTGTGTGCGCCTATAATGCACATAATGTGTGCGTGTGATTGGTTTATGAGTGTTTGTGTGTGCTGAGTCTATGCATACGCAGTTTGTACAGATTAAAACAACTGTATGTATGTATATGTGTGCTTCTCCATCTGTTGTGAGTAAGGTATTCATGTGCCTGCTTAAATTGTCTTGCAATATAAAGAAAACATGTGCTGTCATGAGTGTGAATGTGTTTAAAGCCACAAACTATTGTAAAAGATAGTGTAACTTTGAGATATTTGATTGACTCTTGTCTTTGTTTAGTGCCTAACACGTATATTGGATAGTTGACCTGTATTCTCTCATTAATCAACACTCCTGATGGCACCTTTTCCTTAATAGGTATGGTATTCACAGACACTGAAAGCTGTTTTGTACACCTGACTGAACAAAGTGATAGCAGTGACTGGCTTATGATGATAATGTGTGGTAGATATGCTACTCAGAAGAATGCTGAGTGTGCTCTCTTTGTAAAGTGAAGATGTTTTACCATTTCATTTATCAAGTGTGTGGCACAATTGGAGTATGTGAGTGAATTCATGACAGCAGCAGACGAATGACAAAGCTTTGTGTGGGCAACACTCGGGGGTCATGTTGTGGTAAGATGAGAGACTGCTAAAACAGCATTTTTTGTGCACTACCACTACTGTATATTGTCAGTGATTATAATACCAAGCCACTCAGAGTGAGTAGGGATGTGAGAGAGGCAGATAGTGGGTGGTGGGGAGGACAAGCCTTTGGTTTACACATTACCAGCATCATGAAGAAGGCTCAGCCTATAGTGGAACTGGAGTTATTATATCTAAATGGTTTCAAACCCACCTCTGATAACCAACTAATAGAAACCACTGCTTTTAATACCATCGGGACCTCTTGCACTATGTGAGTTGTCTTTGCCCTGATCCTCTCTGTTTGTTTCTGCTGTTCTGGCCTGGGTGTGGTGTGACGTCCCTCATGTTCTCTCCGTGCTCCCTTATTGCACAACACCTACACAGATGTTTTGTAAAGAAAACTGATTTTTCGTTATTTCATGTCTAAAGGAATACTAAGAATAAACAAGCGATTATGACATTTTCTGTCTTGTTGTGTTTGTTTTCCTATTCGCCGAGCAAGAAGACTTGCAGAAGGACAGTTCTGTCTCAGAGCTGCCCATTCCTTCTCAGTGACTCATCTCACTCAATGTCAGCCATCATTTGTTCTGAGTGTCACGCGCCACTTTCTCACCCCTCAGGCCCTGCGTGCCACTAATCCCACTGCCTCGTTTTGAGCTTCCATAACCTCGCCAGGACACATCAAAGCAGAACAGACACAAGAGAGATATTTATAAACAGTAACATCATAATGCTGTTAACACCTGCCATGGACCCTGAAGCTCCAGGCTGGCTGCAAATTACGACCTTCCACATGCTTTGTTTTCCTGAACTCTTTTTCAAATACAACTACACCAGTTCAAGATTTATCATGCATATATATATATATATATATATATATATATATATATATATATACTACATTTATTTTCCTCAAACTCTAAACCATTCAAGTAATCACAGTAAGAGAAGAAGATATACTTTAAACAGAAAATTAATTTGTAGTTACAGTAACAGTTTTTTGGAAAGTGGATTTTCTCTATTTACAACACTTTTTTTGCAAGTCCATCCATCGTCAAACACTTATCCTGTGTACAGGGTCGCGGGGGGGGCTGGAGCATATACCAGCTGACACTGGGCGAAAGGCGTTTTCTTTTGCAAGTATTTTATATAATTAGGGCTGCAACTAACAATCATTTTTCATTATTGATAAATCTGTCCATTCTTTTCGATCACTAATAAATTTATCATTTTGTCTATAAAATGTCCATCAAAAATTTACAAAAATATTCAAATAGCTTGTTTTTTCCAACATAACAGCTCCAGACCCAAATATATTCAACTCATTTTCACATAGGACAAAAGAAAAGCAGCATACCCTCAAATTGGGGAAGCGGTAATCAGCCAATGTTTGACATTTTTGCTTAAAAACTATTCTTCTAATAATCCTAATATTTGCTAATTAATTTTTTTCAGTTGACTAGCTTAATAACTGACTAATCGTTTCAGTTCTAAATATAATGATTATTCTGCTAATACGAAATGAACAATTTGTGTTGTAAATATCAGCTCTACTGACCATCAGTGTTCAAGCTGGTGAGAACAGTCTCTTATTATATTGAAGGGTTAAAGATCTTAATTGCCGCCATGTTCTTCCCGTCATCCAAGTCACATGGATTATAGAAGGGGAATAGAGGACCCATGACCGTTCCTATAGTAAAGGTGTAGATGGGCGCCATGGTAACAGCATTATAGAAAGACACCTCCTCCTTTTCACAGTCTAAAAACACACCGATGCGGACAAGAGAGACAGACACGTTGACCTTAGTGGGCTTTGGGTCAGTGTAGGCTACGACAGATCCATCCTTCAGGGCCATGGTCCAGAGGCCACTGGATGTACCACTAGCAGCCATCTCCCCCCTTGAGATATCGTCTCGTGCCACACCTAATCTCCACGCTGTTTTACGTCCCACCTCCACCTCCCAGTAGTGTCGTCCTGTGGTGAAGCCCTGATGGCCCAACACACAGTAATAATAGTGGAACCGTCGTGGGTTGGCCTGGCAATCCGTCGTGTCCTTGTCCTCCTCAAACCATACTGAGGTGCAGGATTTAGACAGGGATAGATTAGGGTGGGCCGTCTCAGGGTCAAAGGTCACTGATGTAATATCTGTAGGCAAATGGAGATCAATAAGGTGAGTTTTGTAGTTGTTTCGCATGTTTGTGTATCAGTTGACATATATGAACATACTTGGGTAAAGGCAGCTTTTCATGCGCTTCCATATCCTGTACTGTATGGGCCCCACAAACTGGCCGGAGCGTACCTCCGTGTCCACCTCCGCTGGAAGAACAAAGCTGACCTGAGACCTGCTTTGACAAAATGGGAAGAGGGGAGGACTGAATGATGAACGGTAGAGTGTCAACCTGGTAGACGCACCACAGTGGGGATAATGGAGATGGATGTGTGTGCAGGAATGAGAGGCAATGCCAAGCATGAGTACACTCAAGATTAATGAGATGTGGGGAAAATAGAAACTGTTAATTTATTGAAAAGAGTCTATGAGAAAACCTGCCTTTTTATGAGATCTTGGATTTCCTGCAATGAGAGAAACAGTTTGGGTAGTAGTTGGTTAAAATAACAGTGTACAGCCCTTTCAAATGACAGAAATGTTTCATTACCACAAACATTTGTCTTTGTTTGGACTCCAAATGCAAGCCACATCCCACAGACTAGCTGCCCCTTCCGAGTTGCTGACTAATGCCTTGACTGCCTTTTGTCCTTTCACTTTTAAATGAGAAATTGATTTTGACCTGCAAAACCAGGCAAGTCAACTGTTTAGCCAATCAGTGTCTATAATTGATCACATAAGTGCCAATGAAGAGGCACAGAGCAGCGAACTGCACTGCAGCTCTGGCATTGGGTCCCTTTGATGCAAACCTGCAGAGTCACATTGTTTCCCAGCAGCTCAAAGGAGTCCAAACAGGAGGAACAACTTTAGACAGTTATTTTGACAGATCACAAGTAATGTTTATTCCCGGGCCCATGGGAATGATCGCATGACCCTGGATAAATCCATGCACGGCTCTGCTATTGTGTGAAGAGGTTTCCAGAATGTTTTATGGAGCTAGGCCAAACTGTTCTCCAGCTCCTTCTCTGTCCTCGCTCACACATTAGCTCAACATCCAAATTTACATCTTCCCCATCACCACAACCCACATTTGTATAGCTACAGTAGGCTTTATTCAAGCCAAAAAATAAGCCAAACTTTGGTGAAAGTCAGATGTTCTTTTGTAGTGAAAACGCTTCCTCACTTTGAGCAGTTTAGGACTGTCGTCTTCAGCCAGTTTGCTGTTGAGAACTGTGATTGCTCTCTCCAGGTCTTTCCCTTGATCTGCTATTTTCTTCTCTCTTTCCTTCAGCTGCTTCAGTTGCTTCTGTCTCTCCCTCCCAAGTCGTTCAAGGTCCTTACACTCCTCCTCATCCAGGAAACGATGGAGGTTCTGAAACTCTGCTCTGACTTCTCTTTCCAAGGCATCAAAACAGTTCTGTTCGACGGGATGGGAAAAGATTATGTAAGTTATCATGTGACTAAAAAAATGTAGTGTGTAGACATAACAATATGGACAATCCTTTTCAAAAATGTCTTTAGCAGAATTGTTATGCGTATATACTCATTTAATTTGTGTTAAACTGGAATTACTGTGTATGAAAATAGTGTATTTAAAAAGAAAGATGAGGATTGATAATGCAGCAACAATACCTCTACTTCTACTGACTCTATGTACGTCTCTCTCTCTGCTTCTCTGCACTCATCTACCTCGTGCTTGATTCTTTTAATAGCCTGGACAAGCTTTTCCTGTAACACACACACACACACACACACACACACACACACACACACAGGAGACATAATTGGAATGGAATAGAATTGTTACTGATTTAATAGCCTACAAACTGAATTTCTATGCCTATGAAATATGAACTTTCTAAGAGAAAATATTAGCTGTTCTAAATGTAGCAGCAGGTGAAAACCATAAAACACGAAGCTTACCTTATGATCACAGAGAAGGCTTTTATTGCAGTTGTTGTTGGAGTCTTTGGTGTGGTTTTGGTACATTCCCGTTCTGCAAATGGGACAAAACAGAAATCAGGAAGACTCATGCAATAAAGTGTAATACAAGTGATGGAGGGAGTAAGGGGGAGGGACAAATTGTAGGACATAAAAATGAAACAATACAGAGAGAGAGGGAGAGGGAGAGGGAGAGGGGGGAAACACACATGACAGCATGATGAAAACAGGGACATACATCCAAGTAGAAAATTAACAAGAGAAACGTATTAACAAGCACAGGTCAGTATCCACAGCCGGACTTGGGAAGGAGGAGGAGTGGAAGGGAGGCAAGTAACTGTAGCTGCCAGGAGGGCTTGCTGGCTGGCTGGTCAGCAGGCAGCAGCGATTTATGGCAGCAGACACATAGGAGTCTATTTCTGTCTGCCAGGGTCTTTGGAAACAAAGCTGAATCTGGTGGTGGAGAAAGACAGCCCCTCAGTGAGATATTGTGTTTTGTAACATCAGTTGTTTTGCCTGGAAGGAAGATGATGCATGTTTATTTTTGTTAGGTGGCTCTCTAATGTCTGAGGGATGTGAGAGGATCCTCCTTTGGTAGCTGCATTAAAAGATGCTGTTCAGCTATCCGTGCCCTGCTGGGTTTCATATTGTCTGTACAGTCAGCATTTCTGTCTTCCCTTCTAGGAATATATCTGCACACCACTGCCCAGCCACAAGCCTCTTCTCTCTAAAAAAAAAAGTGTCTCGGGTCTGTCCACTTATCTAAATTTTTTATATCTGTACCTCTTTCTTGCACCCACACCCATAGCCCCCCCCCCCCCACCCCCCCACACACACACACACATACACACGGGGGAGGGGGGGGTCTGGCTATGGGTGTGGGTGCACTGAAGCACCATGATCTCTGCAAATGTTTCTCATCTATAATTCATGCTGCTGGGTCCTGACAAGTGACTGGGCTGAGCAAACTCAGTGCACTACACTATGCGGCAGGTGGAGGGGACACTGACAGGATGATTCAATAAAATACAATGACCTGCTGCATGAAATCACGGAAGCATGAGTAGCAATTCCTGTCTGAGAATCAAAGCAGCTGTAAATCAGCGTTGGCTATTAAATTTAGTTTAGTTTAGTTTATTTGTTTATAATATCGTGGACAGTCCCTTTTGATACAAAGAGCAGCTTTAGCCTCTACGGCTAATTTCCAACTGTTGTCCCCGGCCAGTTGTCAATAGGCATACATCCAATAAAATACATTACAATTATATTTACAACAAAACTAAGCAGAAGAAAGTAGACATACTAAGCGGGTGACACACAATTGAGACAAACACACACACACACACACACACACACACACACAAAAAAACTATTCATGTATTAAAACAGTACAAATCTAAACGAAGAATATTCACACAAATGCTATATTGAAGCATATACAGGACATAACATTGAGGCAGGCGGCAGAAGTCAAATTGCAGTACCATGACCATGTCACATCAAATACATATCACAACAATCAAATTAATGTGTACAGTTGTAATTGTTGGACAGTTTTTAAGGTATATAGTAACGGTGGAATACGTATGTATGTCTTTAATTGTAGTGGCAGTGAGTTCCAGTTTTGTATTGCTTTAACAAAAAATGATAATTGACCAAATGTACTTTTCCTAAATGGGATTAGAAGATCACCTCGTGTGGTGCTTCTGGTAGTCTGACTGCTATTATTACGTTGAATTATGAATGAGTTAAAAGGAGCAGGAGCAATATTATGCAAAATTTTGTAGATCAAACAAATGTTTTTGTATTTGATTACGTCTTCCCAGCTCAACAGTTTATGATTATTAAGGATAATACAATGATGTGAACTATTAGGCTTCTGGTCCAGAACTTTAAGAGTTTTTTTGTAAAGAATTGCTAGTGGCTTTAGTGATGAGCTATTAGTTTGGCCCCAACTTGTCAAACAATATGTTAGATGTGACACAATCAATGTACCCATGAATAATTTTGCAGCATTAAAAGTAAGTGCGTTTCGAGTATATCTAATATTAGCTAAGCTAAACTTTACCCTATTGCACAATTTCTCAATATGTGCTTTAAAAGAAAGATTAGAATCAAAAGTAATGCCCAAATACTTAAATTGTGGCACAATCTTAATGTTTTGACCTGAAATCGTTATATTTGCCACAGTGTTACATTGTCTCTTTGTGATAAACATTCCCACAGTTTTCTCTAAATTTAGTTGAAGACACGAACGATTTCGCCAGTCGGTGATCTGATCCATAGCTGTGGTTAGTTTGACAGCAGCCAAATGTTTTGTCTTGGCATGCACATAAATAACAGTGTCATCCGCATACATTAGTGTATTGAAATCAGGGCAAACTGATGGCAAATCAATAATATATAGACTACATAGAAGCGGACCAAGTATCGATCCTTGTGGTACCCCTGTGCGTAAGTTAAGGACTAATGAACGATGGTTGTTCACAGAAACATATTGAGTTCTACCAGTTTCAACTTAATGAATTGCCTTTTTGTTTTTGTTAAATGTTTGTCTTTCATTTAAAAGTAGGCTATATGATTCTAATGCCCTTTTTTACAATCATAATAACACCTAATAATCCAATGTTCACAGAGCACAAAGAGCAAGCTTTGGGTGGGTTGGCAAAATATATATACTCTTCGATCTGCATTGGGTGGATGTGAATAAACCAAGAAAAGCTGACTATGTTTCAGTTCTCAAGCACCAGAGATCCTTCACTTCCAGCCGTCAAGATATCCTTTTAATTTCAGACTTGATTTAACAAGGTATGTCAATTCTGTTAATTTGGGTTCCTGCCAGGGTTTGAGTTATAATCTGAGCTTCGTGGTGGTCTCTAATATGCTAACTAACGTTACCGGCAGAGCGAGCAAGCGAGACAGAGAGAGAGAGATCATTGCTTATTACGTGATTCAACATTTCCCTCTCTCACACACGCAATCGTGGGACGAATGAAACACAGCGATTTTCTCAGAACCCATACAAGTCTGATATGCCAAACTACCTCAGCACATACAGTCCACAGTACTTAACAGAACAGGGGAAAATCAGGTTGATACGTCACACTTTCACGGAGTTATATGAAAGAAGCTGCTTTCAATCACGGAAAGTAAATTCACTCAAGCCATCTTTTTTTTGAATGAGTTGTGTTTATTGTTCCATGTGCCATGGTCATGATCACATAAAAGATTTGTTGTTACTTTAACACATCCTGAAGTCACTGTCGGGACATTGGTGTTTCATATATATATATATATATATATATATATATATATATATATATATATATATATATATATATATATGTATATATTTATGTATATTATGGCATGCCATTTAGGAAATAATATATATATAAAGTTTGTCCGTCTGAATATATTGAATGAAAGTCTGAATACACACATACATATACATATATACGTATATATTTATACATATATATGTGTATATGTATGTGTATATATATATATGTATGTATGTGTATGTAAGAGACATCCTCTATCCCAGAAGAAACCTAAATTACTATGTAGCCTAGAGGACTAGGATAATATGGCCGTATGGTTAACCTATGAACTTAAGTCATATTTAATATTTAATTATTGCTTTGTGTTGTTGGCCAGAAAAAGAGTAGTAAGACTTCTCTCTGTGTACACGTATCCTGGTACAATTTTATTTGTGTTCCCCTCAAAAATTGCTCTTGTGAAATTTTATGTTTATTGTCCCCCCCCCCCCAATTGTGAGAGATTTACGCCCATGCATGTAAGTCTGTTTATCTGAAAGAATAGTAGGTACTAATTACAATGAAAAATACATTACTTGTGATTCAAAATTATGGTTGCTGATAAATGAATTAGAGACCCCACAGATGCATGATTTTACTGCAGACCTTCTTTCTTTTCATCACTGGCTCCCACGTAAGTAGACGAATAGCTAGGACATTGAATCAGTATCAGGGAGAATTTTCTCTGATGTCCACGGTCAGAAGCAGAAGGTGGCGATAACGCACATAACACGCTGGCTGCCACCTGCTGTTAAAACCCCAAAAGAAGAAGAAGAAGTTCCCGCCCATCACGACGCATGGAAACGACGTCACGAAAGTAAACAAGAGTATGTCGCACAGACAGACTCAAATAAGAGGTATCAGGGCTTTTCTTAAATATAGACTTGCAATTCATCGAAATCATGCTTGCATATGAAATAAATGAAGATGTACATTTGTAGATGTCTGTGAGAGCTAGATATGTAAGCTAATGTTTTTAACTAGCGTAGCATACATTACCTTATTCAGTCCATCACACCGATGTAACGTTATGTCGTTTCACATGCAGTGTGTTTTAGGAAAAGTAGCTGCAGCATATAACTTCAACTGTTAACAAACGGTAGGTTTCATTGTTTCATCATTTGCATGCTGCGTTTCAGAAATGAACGGTCAAGCAGACGTCGAAGTCGACTATAAGCGGAAATACAAAAATCTCAAACGAAAATTAAAATTTCTTGTTTATGTGAGTAAAATCATTTTCACTGTGAACGGTCAGTCTTGAGCAATCATATATCGTCTTTTTACATACACATATCTCCTTGTCTGCTCTGATTCCGTGTTTGGTTGCCCTTTTCCAGGAACAGGAATGCTTTCAGGAGGAGCTGAGGAGAGCACAGAGAAAACTTCTCAAAGTTTCCAGGGACAAAAGGTGAGATTACATTGTGTGTACATGAAAATGTGTGGATGTTCAATAATATTATGTGCGTGCAGTAAATAAATAATGTCATGCACTTGTTATCTAGCTTCCTTTTGGACAGACTGCTGCAGTATGAGAGAGTCGATGAAGATTCCTCAGGTAGTTATTGCACCTCATCCTAAAGAATGAAGTGTTTATTACCATGCCATGCTTTCATTTGTTGTGTCACAGTTGTACGCAGTCGACTATACTGTTGGTTCAGGTTTTCTTGTCTTCTGTTCCAGATTCAGATGCAACAGTTTCTTCAGAAAATAGTGAAGGAGAAGGACCCCGTGAGAGGGAAAGAGAACGAGAAGTAGCAAAGAAGTAAGATTGGCATTTTAACATAAAATACAAATATTTGACCAACTAGCTCAGGGTAACTCTTGATATCATCAATACCTTGAGTAGTTCAGCACTTTGTCTTTCACCAACCACAGAATTTTCACTGCTGCTTGTACTATGAATAGTGCAAATGAATATGAACAATCAATATGTGTATTTATAAAATATTCCCATCTTTGTGGACTTTTACATTACAAAACATTCAGTTGACGCTTTTATCCAAAGCGACTTACAATTGCTATATATTTATCAGAGGTCGTACTCCTCTAGAGCAACTAGGGGTTAAGTGTTGTGTTATTCACATTTAAGTCTTGAGTTAGTGTGCAAAGAAAGCAAGATACAATTTTCTGGTAATTTGTTATTTGTGCTGGACATCCTGCACTGACTTAAGTCAGTGCAAGTAATTTCTAGATAATTATAAACAGTCTTCCTGTTTGATGCTAGTTAAATTTTTATCAGGGCTTCTTTTCTTCTTTTTAGCTGATGAATTTCCAGGCATCATCATTTTCCAAAATATCTGTTTTCCTTGACCACAATTAAACGTGAGGCTGGCTTTTTCAAATTTAGCCACTCTGGGAAACATTTGTTTTGTTTTTAGAGAAGTGTTGAATTAGTGTGTACAAAGGCCAGCACATAGAGAAAATTATGTTTGTTTAAATTAAGCTGGCTTGTTACGGCCTATTGAATCAAATGGACCAATGTGGACAAAACATTTTGCGCTCTGAATGCTCTTGCTGTTATACCCCACACAGTGAGTTTCTCTTAATTTTCCATGCATTCTTTTCAGGCGAAGAAGTAGTCCTGGGGCGTGTATTCCTTCATCATCTTCCCCTCATCTCTCCCTGTTGTCCCGTCCTGGTGTAAATCCCCTACAGTCATCGGGCTCTGGACCCTACCTGAACACTGTGAGTTTGCATCTCCCTTAGTGCGGTCAGCAACAGTAACATAGCTGCCACTGTCGTCTCTTCATCAGCAAACATAATCCCTGTTTTTATTTGTCATTATTTATATAATTTCATTCTTTTGTCACTTTATCCACAAAGTCTGGATTATCTTTTCCTTTGTTTGTTTTTTGTTTGATACTTATAATGTCCTTGCAATGTTCATTTTTCTGTGTTCTTCTGTGTTTTTTGTGTTGTTGCTGTGTGTGTCTGTCTTGTAAATTGCCAATGCCTGTGTGCATGTGTGTTTGTGTGGTCATTTGGCAATTTTGGGGCCTGCGTGTGTGTTGGGCAGATGCCCTTCCCACCAGAGTATATGGCTCCACCAGCTGAACGAATGAAGAAAGAGAGAAAAACAAAGACGCCTAAAAACAAGAAAGAGACTACTGGGAAGGTGAGAGAGGAAAAGGAAAAATAAGATGCTCAGATGTAGTAATAATAATTATAACAATGATAATAATTATTCAGATATATTGCTTACTTCTCACATCCTGTATAAGAATGTGCCATTTATATTAGATGGCACAGTAGGTTATATTTTGGCCACAGTATATATGCATATGTGTCTACTTTTATGTTCTCCTTAGGGAGTCTAAAAACTCTGTATTGGTTCATTTTACTTTGTGGCATAGTTGACAAACTCTTGCTATATTAACAGTCTTGTTCTGATCTTTACTCAATATAACCTCTAATAATGACATTTCAGGACAATGATGTAGACAATTCAGTCCCCTAAGCCATTTTAAGTTTGGCACTGTGCTGAAATGACCTTCTGGTCAGTATGTCTTTAAGTTCATATACATGCTGCATGCTTTGTCCTGATTTACTCTGTACATCTGTGATGCAGCCATCCATCCATACCCCTCTTGCCTCCATCATATCTCCATCCCTCTCAAAATTAAATTTTTTGCTTTATTCTAAATTTCTTTCAGGTTGTTGCCCCAATGGCAGCTAATTACCCATCAGCCCCCGTGGCGCCTACTGCAGCCAGCGGCCCCTTCAGCTGGGTTCCCAGACAGATGCTTAGTGGAGATGCAGCTGAGGAGGAGGGAGAGAGTGATGGAGACAGCGATCGAGGAGATGAAGACAGAGGGGAGGGAGACGAGGCTGAACTAGTCATTGACATCCCTAATGAGTGAGCCTGAGTGTGTGTTTAGATGTATTTATAAGCAGGGGATTGTGAGTGTGTGAGTGAGTGAACAATTGTGACTAAATGTATTTTCTGTACTCTGTTGCCCATTATATATTTTCAAAGTGGGAGCCAAGCTCCCCCCTGTGGGCTTTCGCTTAATTGCAGCATCACGGTCTAAAATATCTCACAGATAAATGTGATTTTCCAATATTATGTTATGGATTAAATCTTGGGTTGTACTTTTTTAAGAAAAATCCATGGGCATTTTTTGTCCAAACAGTCTAGCATCCTACAAACTGTGACTACAACTAGGTATGTCCTGCACAAAGTGAGTTTTTGATCATTTGTTTTGCATTGTATAACCGTAATCTCGTACTTGGTATTGTTTAAATGCTGTAGTCAATTTAAGTTGTTTATTATGATATACATGTTTCAATTGTGTTTCAATGTTAGGTCATCTTTGCTTGTTACGGGCAGCTTTTACATCTGTCATTTGTACTAAGTTAATGTTTTTACAAAACACCAAGAATTAAAGCTACTTCATGTTAATGGAGATGATCCTGTCAAATTGTTTGTGTCAGAGAATAAATAAAATTATTTCAGATGGCTAAAAGTTTTTGTTTTAAGTTAAATGGTGTGTTAGGTAGATTCTCCTGACAATATCCTACATGGACCATTTTACTTTAAAAAAATGGTGTGGGCTGTTGTGTGTTTGTCTAAAAATATTTCTTATCACACCATTTTAGATGTTTAAAAAGCAGTAAAAATGTTGAACACACCTTGTAGTATAACTTGGTGCCCTACCCAAAACATCACACCCTAAAGCTCTCATTCCACAGCTATAATCAGTCACTCAGGTATGCTGCCGTCTGTGTGAATGTTTATTGAATGCAGGAGATGAAAAGGACAGCTCATGTAGACCTAGTTCATGCTTGGTATTGTACATGTTTTTCTTTGCTTGCTTGACCTCTGCAAATGAATCCTGATACCATTCTTGAAATAAGCCCAGGGGTATGCTTGGCTCATGTTGCCCATAACTCTCACTCTTAAGCAATATGAAGGCAGCCTGGCTGGATTCCACCTCTTCTAGATGTTAAAAAGACAGTTTCATATTATTTATGCTCACTTTGCTTACACATGCACAGGGCTAAGTTGTAAGATTATATGTGAAATGCTGTTTTTGATACCTAACGATTTTGTCAGTGCCAACATCATCATGTCTCAACGGGCATGTTTCTTATAATAAGGAAAGCATGCTACAACCTGCAAGACAGGAATAGGAGTCTGTTTTGTCTGGAAAGGGTGATTTCAAGAATTGCTGTACTCTGGGTGAGACAATGACCCATGACTTTGACACTTTCAGGATTAAGTTTTAAGGAGGATTTTATGAACTGACATTGTTAAATATAAAGCTCAGTTGCTCACATTTTAAGTTTCAAGGGAGAAATTCTGCTTGATTCAAAGCAGTTCAAAGCAGCTGTTGGATTTGATACAGAGTCAGCACTTTCAGGAATGAGCGTTTACCAGGAATGGACGACAAGAGTGTGTCTAACACTCAATTGACTAACCTAGTACAATGACCATTGTATGGGAATGCAGACTTACAGGTAATTGAAAGCTTTTAATGGGTTTGGCTTGTGTACCTGACAGCAATGTTAAAGGTGTAGCCATAGAGAGTATAAGAGGGAGGGGTGAAGTGGAGGTACAGTCAGAGGAAGAGTCAAAGAGGGTGGAATAGAGAGGGAGTGAGGTTGTCAGGGAAAGGGAAATGAAGGCGTAAGCAAGATTGTGCCTGCAACACAGGCTCACTCTGTCTCTCAGAATACAGCTGACAGAACAGCCATGGTTGGAGACAAACTGGAGGAGAAAACAAGGAGCGAGTGAGAAAAAACAACAAGCCACCCTTGGCCACCTTATCTTTTCCATCTATATACGGAAACCACTGGATAATTTATAAGCCTCTCCCTCTTGCTCTGTGTGAGAGTGTGTGTGTGAGAGAGAGGGGGGGATTTGCTGAGCTCACCACCACCATGCTGTATCCTGCTGCTGTCAGTGCAGCCGCTGCGGCTGTCTGGCTGCTGGCAGTGCTGGGCCCATGCCTGTCTCTTCCAGCTGAGGACAACTCAGAGCTAGGCTTCAGCCTCTGCAGCAACTGCTTCTACAGACAGACGCCTCCTCAGGGAGCCTCTGAAGGACCGCTGCTGCGACCACTCTGCCACAGACTGCCTGGGGGACAGGAGTTTGCCACTCTGTCCAAACCGACCTGTGACACAGCTGTCTACTCCGCCTTCCATCTCAGCCATGGATGGACAGAGAGAGGGGGGGAGGAGGGGGAAGAGCTTGTGGTAAGAATGCATCTGTCATGCTATTTAAAGTAGTACTACCTGTTTTGAATGGTGGATTTGAATAATGAAGTACAGTGCAAAATCACAGACTGGTGCATGCAAGCAGTAAACCAGTGGTGAAAAGTAACTAAGTACAATTACTCAAGTACCATACTTAAGTACATTCAGTTTGGAGTATTTGAGTATTTCCATTTTATGTTACTTTATAGACTATTACTACTCCACCCAGAATAAAATATTGTACTTTTTACTTCACTATGTTTATCTGATAGATATAGTTAGTAGTTCATTTTCAGATTAATGAAAAGCTAATAACATTAAATGTATTGTTAAAAATTAAACCAGTGGTTTGCAACCTTTTTAGGATTGTGACCTCTTACAAAAAGCAGTGGGTGCCTTATATGTCTTTGTGTTGTTAGCAGATCTAACAAGACATTTCCTCTCTAAATTTTATGTAATTTAAATAACTGTTCTAGGCCCTGAGAGGTAAAAGTACCTCTTAGAGAAGAGCAAAGATTATTAAAAATTCCAAAAAATAAGTACACATTTGTGTTTTTCTTCACATCATTAATCATCTAACAACCCCTCCAATTTATCATGTAACCAGTCCAGTGGTTCCCAACCAATAGGTCGACTGTTGGCATATAACGGAAGTAAAACAGGAACAATGCATTTCTCATTTGTCCTATTTTTCAAGTGTTGTATAGACATTTAATATAACCACAGAACTGATGAACATTTGAAAATCATCAGTTAAATAAAATGTATTGATTTATGATCGAACATACTAGCTCAAGTATCTGTATGGTGGGTTATAACTAGTGTACACTTGCATATATTGTAATTCACACATTAACACTTGATTTTGATGATTTTATCTGCCAGACAAAGGAAGAAGAAGACATCATTAAAATAGCAGTCCCAGCCCTTCTCAGAGGAGGTGGAGATCCATCTCACCCTGTCTCGCCTACAGACTCCCCGCTTACACACTGGGATGCAACAGTCACAACACTGGTTCTGTCAACCTTCACACCCCAGTGCAGCACTTTAGGCGGTGATCTCTACATCCTGACCGGGGCCGGAGGTTTTGGGGCTGCTGAGGATGGAGACGAGGAGTGTCAGACTAAGCCACTGTGGTCTGCAGTGTGCTGCGCTGCCCCAGAAGGGAAGAGTGGTTTCAGTGTGGGGTTAATCAGAGAGACAGGGGAGGGGGAGAGACAAGTGAGCGTGAAAGAGCTGGAGGAGACACTAGGAGTGGCAGAGCTGTTCTCAGAAGGCTGTGGAGGAGCAGATGGAGAGGCTGTTGGAATTGGAGTGGGTCTTCACACTGATGGGCTCCCTGGAAATATAGAAGAGCTGGATGCAGAACTTACTGGTGAAAACACTGGATCTGAAGATGTAGATTCAAGCACAACTGAAACTCTGGATGAACTAGAGACAGATGACAATTCCAGCAGCACTCTAGTCTACGTCCTTTCCACCACCGTCTCCATCCTTACAGCTCCACTGCGGCCTGTGTTCTCCACAATCACCCAGTTACCTGGACAGGTGATACAAGTGATTGACATAGTTTTAATTTATTTTATATTTTTTATATAAATGTTTAACTTAAAGGTGTACTCCAGCAATTTTGAATTACACTTCCATAAGGCTAACAAGAGACAAGATCTGTCTCATGTGAGGGACACACGGAAAATAAATTTATGGTGAAAATCGATGCAGATGAGATTACTTTTATCCTCTATTATGGGTCAAACTCCAAAAATACTGAATTCCACACCCATAATGCAACTGCAGAGAGCCTGCCCAAACCTGGATGTAGTGTCCATGACTTCACCCATAGGATCCTGAAAAGCCGTTGTGATGCCCAATGTTGGCTGCTCCGGAATCCAAAATGGGCAAAGGTGGAACTGGGCTGGGCTGAATGAAGCCTGGTGGCTGATCCACATAGTGGCTAGCCACCTGAGAGGTCACCCACCTGTCAGTCAAAGCGACCTTAATTATGCATAACTTTAAGCCTTACTATAATTTAAATGGATGACTTATATTAAAATTCACCCACGTACAGTTGTCATGAGGGGGAAATTAGCTATAGGGACCAATTTAAACCCCTTTTTTTTTTTTTTTTACCAGACTGCAAACATATTTATTTCTTGTAAAAATGCCCAACTCTACAGCAGAAATTAATGCGTTTATAGCGTCATTTAAAAAAACAGTTTTAGTTTGTGTAGTTTGTAGAGAAACATTTGTATTTTAATATCTTCAGTTGTTTCATAAATCTCCTCATTCCAGTTTGCTCCTCCCAGAGACTGGAATGAGGTGTGGCCAGTAGGAAGCGTTAACTCATTACATTCCCTGAATTCATTCTATCAATTCATTATTCACACCTTTTTTATCTTCTCTTAAAAAGTGTTTGTATTATCTTTACTCAGGTGACATACGTTCTTCAGGAAGACCTTGGAGTTCTGGCAGCCCTGCCTGGAGACATCTACACCTTGCTCCACCTCTTTATCTCTGACCTTTTGTCCTTGATGGGCTCAGCTGCAGAAATACTACTGGGTATTGGGGAAACCTGTTTCTTTGGCGTCTACTTCTGCACCTCCTCCATGCTGGGGGCCCTGCTGGACAGCTGCCACACTGGGGTCACTGGCATGGGGACCCTGGCTGGAGACACAGTGGGGATATTTGGTGACGTGGTGGATAATGGTTGGTGGGTGATCGAGTTCTTTGGAGGGCGGCTTTGGGAACAGAGTGAGGGATATGTCAGAACAGTGATGTCAGAGATGGGGGGTCAGGCGGAAGCTGTAGGTGGCGGGTTTGGGAGGCTGGTGTGGAGAAGTAAAAATGGGGTGGGTAATGTGTTTTGGCTGGGAGGGGGTTTAATAATGGGGATGGTGGATACATTTATTGTTGATGTAAGAGAGGGTTTTGGGCAGGAGTCAGGGTGAAAAGTGGAGGGAAAATCCAGACTCCACTTGACGATAGTAACAAAAATTTCCAAATGTTTTGTCCAGTTTTGGTTTGTAAATTTCTTTAGCACGTAAGAGTGTGAAAAATGGGGAACTATTTAAATTTGATGTCATCTGATATGCCGTAGTTGTTCTTGAAATGTCCATTTACTGTAGGGCTTACACTTCACTGTGGCTGGCTGTATCTGAGAGCTAGGATATAGTGACCCAACTGTGATTTAAAAACACTGTGCACAAGGCTTTCGGATGTAATTATTGAAAGCAATTCTTGTATGATAATTGTTATGATAAATGTTTGCTTACATGTACATTTGAATAAAAGAGAATGCTGGCTTATTGTGCTGTTTTTGTCTTTTTATATGTTTATGTAATGGAACTGTTTCCCCCATCAAAACAAGACATTCATTTGTTTTGTCATTTTCTGTAAATGCTCATGATACCACAAATAACAAAACAATATTTACATATTAATAGTTCTTTAAATTTAATAAATTCAAACTAGGACATGACACTGTTTAATATTCCACACAGATGTGTCGTAACTTCAGAAATGTCCGTGTGGCATATTAAACAATGTCACGGAGGTGCTCTCCCAGTTTTTCCTCTATGACTTTATACATTTAAGATTCAGCAACCAGTCCTTATAATCTCATGGTTTTTAGAAGTGAGCTGTTGGTCTATCATGTATAGTCATGTATTTTGTCATGTATTAACATGTATTTTCATATGAAATTTCAACCTGCAAACAAACAAATGAGTATGTAATTATTTTTAATGTACATAAGTACATTAAAGAGGTATTTATTTAACAGCTGTAGTTACTAGCTATTTTACAGATTAAGATTTTACATGCAAAGTTATATTCAGTTTATGAAATAGGGTGTTGCTAAAGATGAGACTACCCATATATATATAGCTTTTACTTTAATGCAATTAATGATCTGTATACTTTTTTCCATCAATAGTTGTTGTTGCTGGTATTGTTTATATAATTATTCAAAAATAAAACTTTTGTAGACTTCCGTTTTGTGGCGGAAGTGGCAGATCAAACCCGGAACAAAATCTTAGAGCTGTCGTTGCATCAGACGGAGGCTGAAAGGACTCATGTGTTCTGCTGTGTATGCTAACTTAAGCTGACGTCTCTTTCTGTTTCATTCAAAGGTATGGATAACTTCCTACAAAAATATTCAATAACGAGCCACCGGTTTCTTAAACGCTAACTTTAAAACGAGTTTCAAACAATAACTGTAAGCGTACACACGTTTCAAGCTCAGCGTACACTTACAGAAAATCCAGCTTTAGTTTGTCTGCTTAGCTAAAAGCTAACTAACCTGTTTGGCTCGACTTTTCGTCAATCTTTGACAGGTGGCAGAGATCGAAAGCTTTTCAGAAGATGAAACAGATAGCTAACCAGCTAACATGTAGGCCAGGATAAAATACAAAAAAAGTTGTCTTAAATACGCGTAAACTAACGTTAGTTTGTTTACCAAGCTCGCATCTCTTGTTAAGCTAATAAAATATGTCACTTTGGAGTGACACTGATGAATTAACATGATCGGCGAACACACCCACTCTACCAAGCTACTTACAGCAAACATAAAAGTAAGAAGGAAGAAAATATGAACAAGTCAAAACCAGTTCACAATGAAGATAATGTTTGTGTTTGTACCAGAGATGGCCACTCTCTACGTGACCCCTCATCCCGATGACTTCAGGAGCCTTCTGGCCCTCATAGTTGCAGAGTTCTGTCCGTCCTCCTGCCCGAGGACCCTCACAGAAGATCCTCCTGCGTCCTTGAATGCACGCTCCAGACCGACCCTGGTGCTGGGCACTGGCGAAGGTGACTCCATCCTCAGTGGGGCCAGCGCTGTGGCCTGGTACCTGGCTTTACAGGGGAAGAGGGGTGGTGTAGATACAAAGCAGCAGAGCCAGGTGTGGCAGTGGCTCAGCTTTGCAGACAATGAACTCACTCCGGTGTCCTGTGCTGTGGTATTCCCACTGATAGGGGTGATGGGAGTGGATAAGAAGGTGAGAGGAGAATCCAAATGCTTGTTGTTGACATGTGTGTTATTTATTCTTGTGACAATTTATTCTAAAATGACTTGTGTCTTCACAGCTCCAGCAGAGTTCCCGTGCAGAGTTGATACGTGTTCTAAAGATTCTCGATCAGGCACTGGAACCGAGAACCTTCTTGGTGGGAGAGAGCATCACCCTGGCTGATATGGCTGTAGCTACAGCTGTTCTGCTACCTTTTAAATATGTACGTACATTGTGCAATGTCTTACAGGTTTTGACAGTTAGTTGCTGACTGTCTGTCAGCATGTTTCATATCTTATCAATTTAGCCATGTTTGCCACCTGTCAACATTTGACTGTGCCATAATATATTAGCATTAGTCTGATTATATTTTTTGCTTTTAGGTGTTAGAGCCATCAGACAGGAAGGTCTTGACCAATGTTACCAGGTGGTTCACCACCTGCATAAACCAGCCACAGTTCCTGAAGGTGTTGGGGAAGATCACTCTTTGTGAGAAGATGGTGCCAGTTACACCAAAGATAAATGCCCCTGCTAATGCTAAAGCTGCTAATGCCAGTCCTGCTATTGATTCTGCTGATGCCACAGCCAATGGTTAGGAAGTCCTGTGCCACAGTTCATGAATGTCTTTTTTTGTACAAACAGCATTCTGATTGTCTTTGTTTCCTCCTTCAGGCCCACCAAAGACAGAAGCCCAGCTGAAGAAGGAAGCTAAGAAGAAAGAAAAGCTGGAGAAGTTCCAGCAGAAGAAGGAAATGGAGGCGAAGAAAAAGACACAGCCACCGACAGAGGTATGGATACTTAACTTCTGCAAATACAACTTCCTGTAAGACACTGGTGCAGCTTTAAAAAACATAAACATGGCCTATGCCAACATCATAGTTGTTCTGAAGGGGTTAAAGATCAATTGCCATCAAATCACATGTGGTGTGCTCTCCTTTAGAAAAAGGCCAAACCGGAAAAAAAGGAGTTGGGAGTGATCACATACAATATCCCCACTGCACCTGGGGAGAAGAAAGGTGATTGCTCAGTGTGGGGGGGGGGTTTCTCTTTTGTAACAGAAAGTGTGTGTATATATATATGTATATATATGTGTGTGTGTGTGTGTGTGTATATATATATATATATATATATGTGTGTGTGTGTGTATATGAAGAATATTATTTTGCCTTTTTGTGGTGGTGAGGGGGATTGTATTATGTGAAAATGACATCAGTGCATACCTTCTATAATATCAGTAGTTTTATCTTGATTAGCTTCAGGTCCAAATGTCAACCCTTTCTCTCTTTCTTTTCTGGTGTCAGATGTCATTAGTCCGCTTCCTGACTCCTACAGTCCTCAGTATGTGGAGGCTGCCTGGTATCAATGGTGGGAGAAGCAGGGATTCTTCAAGCCTGAGTATGGGGTAAGGAAGGTCCTCCCCTTTACGCTATATTCCCACAACAGAAAACATTCTTTTTTTTTTTTATTGATTAGTTTTGTCTGTGATAACATATCTGTCTACCTCACTACTTTCTGCAGAGGAAGAGTATTAGTGACCACAACCCTCGTGGCATCTTTATGATGTGTATCCCTCCACCTAATGTGACTGGATCCCTTCACCTGGGTCACGCCCTCACCAACGCCATTCAGGATTCTCTGACCAGATGGTAATTAACTGGACTGTTTAATAGCCTGAAATTCAAGTTCATATTTTCAGTGAGGCCGGCTGTGGCTCAGGAGTCAGAGCGTTAATCGGAAGGTCGGCGGTTCAATCCCCGGCAAGATACTGAACCCCGAATTGCCTCTGGTGGCTGTTCAGCCAGTGTATGAATGTGTGTGAATGTTAGATTCTGTTTGAGCACTTAAGCTCAGTGTATGAATGTGTGTGAATGGTGAATGCTTGTAGTGTAAAAGCACTTTGAGTGGTCAAAAAGACTAGAAAGGCGCTATACAAATACGGAGCATTTACATTACTTTTGTTGCATCTACCTATCAAAGTGGGGTGCTTTCTTCCATTCTCCAAGGCACAGGATGAGAGGTGAGACCACCTTGTGGAACCCGGGCTGTGATCACGCTGGTATCGCCACCCAGGTGGTGGTGGAAAAAAAGCTGATGAGAGAGAGGGGCATGAGCCGTCACGATTTGGGCAGGGAAAACTTCATCCAGGAAGTCTGGAAATGGAAGAATGAGTGAGTGAAGGAAGTAGTAGAAAGGAGGAGATGTCTGAAGTAGGATTAAAAACTGGAATAAAGAGACAGTAATAACTGAGCCCCTTTTTGCCTTTTTAGGAAGGGAGACCGTATCTACCACCAGCTGAAGAAGCTGGGCTCTTCTCTGGACTGGGACAGAGCTTGCTTCACTATGGACCCTGTGAGTTTTTGGAAATCTCTGAACTAATCTGAATAGAATCTGTAGAAATATTCCTCTTTTTCATGTCTATACATGTTTCTCTGTCCAGAAACTTTCCTATGCAGTCCAAGAGGCCTTTATCCGCATGCACGATGAGGGAGTGATCTACAGGAGCAAGAGGCTGGTCAACTGGTCCTGCACACTAAACTCTGCCATCTCTGACATAGAGGCAAGTGTTCTGGTTAAATGACAAGGAATGCATCTCATTAGAGTGGTAAAGATCTAGGCTATATCTATTTCCTGTAGTCACACAAATATGTCAGTTCATTATTTTCTTACTCTTTTTTAGTTTTCTTTACACTTCACAATGCACACACTGCGTTGGTTGAGATGGCTGGGTATCAAACACCACTTTTAGAATACCAGATTTAATCCCTGATTTTGTATGTATACTCTTATTTCATTCAATCAGTGTTTTGGATGGCTGTTTGTTTAAAGACAAAATTAAAGACTGATGCATTTGAGAAGTTTGTTACTCAGGAAATTGTTATGTCACAGCCCCCACACACACATTTCCTCTCTACCTATCAACTGCTTAAAAATAATCCGAAGAGGATAAAAAAAAATGATTTGTTAGAAAAATGATTATACTCAGAAAATGAAGGTATTTCTAAAAAGTGTGATTTGTAGCAAATTACATCAAATATTTTCAAACAGCAGTTAGCCCTACTTTGTTAACCCTGTTATAAGGCTGTCGTGGTGACAGTTTCAAACACTTTTGCCAGTACTGGTCGTGCTGTGCTCTCATAATTAAAGCTTCTGGTTGGTTTGCAGGTGGATAAGAAGGAGCTTACCGGCAGGACTCTGTTGCCTGTGCCTGGTTACAAAGACAAAGTAGAGTTTGGCGTGTTGGTGTCTTTTGCTTACAAGGTGGATGGATCAGGTATGTGAGCTCATAGACAGCAGAATAT